AGTGTACTTGTCCGCCTATGGAATGTTTATGGGTTTATTTATTTTGTTGTACGATGAATCATTTCCTGTATTACGTGCTTTTAATCTTGTAGTTTTTCGCCGTATGAAAATTCGTATAAAAATTCGCACCAACTTTTGAAGCTGCACCGGCAGACAAGGAAGAGCTCAGCTGCCAGACGTAGACTGTCTAGACGCTCATCGTCATATCTCAAATTCTGACTTGAATTAATCTCGCCTGATAGCACATTTGTATCCAAATTGTGAACCACACTAGTAACATTACTTGCAGTATCACGATTAGGCAATTGCATTAGTACACACACTAAAATTGTCCACACCAATTTTACTTTATACTACTCTGCCCCGACTCATGAACAACATTAATGGCATGACACTATTAATATCATGAATGAACAATACACAATTATTACATTTAACTTTTCCTTCCTATCAAGTCATTCGACAATAATTAGTCCCACCTATCAAAGTTAGTCGATAACAATTAGTTATCCCACCTATCAAAATCACTCGACAATAATTAGTAATAATAAAACTATCGCCTGCTAATAGCCCTTCATCAATTTACGATGCTGCCGTTTTAATTTTAATCTAGAACCGCATTTACGAGATCGGACTCTAGCGGCGGCTCATTTTCGCGCCAAACCTGAGCCCGCCAGTCTGCTCGGTCTGATAAGGCAGGTCAGGGGCCAAATTAGGGCTTATCTCACGGACACGTGTACAGAGTACACCGCATCTTCACGTCCCCTTTATCGCTTAGCACTTCATGAACAATATTTATGATACTCACTCCGCGAGACGATAGTATTTACGTTAATTACTTTAACTTATAACGCAGGGTATTTTGTCTATTCCTGATCATTGTATTTGATCCTTTGTACAATCAGAGTAGGTAATCATTTCTCGCTTTGTCCATTAAGACGTTAGAAATGTCCAGTTAATGAGTAGTTTTATCAACATTTAACGGTAGTTGGAAAGCACGAAATCTCAATGGTATTCCTAAATACTCGATGCATTGTTATGGCTTGATGACCATCTAAGTAAAATATCAGGATTTGAACTATTTAAAAACTATAGAAACTATTTCTAATCGGCGAAGTGAAGTTATATTTTTGATATTTCGTTCTTCATAATGAATAGATTTTATTGGTGGTAAAATTGAAACATAAGTGACTGTCTATTTATGCTAGATAAACTCTGCAAAAGCCAAAGGATATAAAAATTACGGATTTAAGTGAGGAATATGACGGTGAAAAGAGGGCAATACTGAATGATTTAAAATATTTTTGAAACAATTGCACGAGTAAAACGAATTCCCGAAAAAGTACCAAACGTTCATCAAGCCAGTTAGGCTCACCGCTAGTGACCGAAGCTTATTTAAAGCTTCCGGTGTATCACACGCTGACCTTTTTTTGTGCAGCTACCTCACGTGCACTATAACTTGCTTTGTTTTTTAAACGAGTGACGCCTGTCGCTGCGGCAGAATGATGCGTAGTGCTGAGTCATGTGTTGCAAATGTGAATGATGGGAAATTCTGTTTGCTTGTTTGCTGTCGCCAAGCTTGAATATTCGCACTTAGAACTCGTCTCAGATTTGATGAAAGCTGGCAAGCTTCCTCTAGAGTCTGGACGAAAACATGGCAAGACATTCAGGATCATATCATAGATGTGTTCAACGTCTTGAACTGAACCTGATAATTCTGAAAATTAGCTTAAGAAATTTTGTCACTTTCTTGCAGAAAAATGTATCACGTATGTTAATTAATGTGTTCCAGGTACTCAAGGTGCGACCAATCTCGTTCAGCTTGGCCAATTTTTCATCTGAGACATGTTTTGCTGTATGCGTGTTGCACCAAATGATTGAGCTACAATAGGAACGACTAGCTCCTGGTGACATAACCATAAAGTTTTTACAACTGCAACGATCATTTGTTTTAGATTATGTGCGTGGATGATTTTTGCAGTAGTACAACGACATATCATTTTGGAAAGCAAGATTTAAGTATGGCAACTTTCATGCCGCAGCTCGCTGGTTGCCACTAATATAAGCTATTATTATATCAAAACTTTATTTTTACATTCAAGGTGAATTTTATGTCTTACAAGCATGGCAGTGACCCCGATGCTGGTGTTCGGTAGGGTGGTATGATAGGACTTATGATGTTATCTATATCTTATCTGGTCTTGTCGACGCCATGGCTCTATAATTCAATGACGTCAGTTCTGCTCAGGCATGAATGACCATTTTACAAAATGAAAAATTCACGATATAACATTCGTTAATATTTGATGCAGCTGCTACCGATGAGCTCGAGCCCAATGGAAAAAGGTGTTGACGCCTTTTCAAAGGTGACGTCGAAAGCTCTATTTTGCCTTGCATTCTTAGTAAACTACTGCTGAACATTGCAGCTGTGATGACATCATGGTAGCAGACTGAAATTTCTGTTCAGATTGCTTATATTTGGTTTTAACAAATCGATCCTCATTTAACTGTTGAATAACTAAATTTTCAATCAATGGTTCAAATTTCAGTGGCCTGCTAACGCTAAGCCCAATTAAGTATAGAGCTCAGTCAGTCATATATCACGTGACGCTATTCGATCCCATGGAGTAGCGTGAGGCTTCAGTCTTGTAAGACTTCTCTGTCAATTTATTTGTTCATGTATGCATCCTGACCAGAAGCGCAAGCAACTGTAAATCTCTCTGTAGTTGTATGATAAAATGAAGCAGGTAATCTATATTGTCACTGCGTGTTCTAGCAGAATTGCCAACACAGAACCAATTTTTCGTTTTCATTGATTAGCGGCTAAACGGCAGGAATATTTCTTACATTCGCACTCGTATATTGTGAAAAAATAATCTTTATTCAAACGAAAATGCATTCGACGTATTTATTATGTGTACACTCAATATATGCTCCTAACAATCCTTTTAAAATACAGACTTTCTTTTTGTAATGGATGTAATAGTTACCAACCCTCTTGCATTGATAGTGATAGTGCATAGCTTGGACCCATGCACTTCTGGCCTTGTTATCCCGGATTAAAAAGAAAATAGTTACAACCTAAACCTTAGTAACCCTTAACGCGAACGATAAATATATATTTCGGACTTCTGGCTTTGTGAGTAAAGATATTCAGGCATTGACAATACAATAATTATTTTTTGAGTTGTTTTTGTTTTTACGTTATTAGTTAATGCATGACTACACTTACAGGGGTTGAATTCACCATGTGCTAAAAACTCGTATACAGGTAAATACGACCCGATAATGAATTTTATCCTCAACCCATAATTACAACGACTTATTCTCAGATCGAATTATGCAACCACCTTATGTTCACAAGCCAGTCCATCGTGAGGTTGGAAGTTGACGTGCTATCCTCACTAGTGAAACTCGAACAAGTTCAGCATCCATGAAGCTCACGATCACCGTAGTTTTCGTGACCTGTTCCTGTTCACCTCGCTGTCAGCGGATTACGCTTGTGACGTTCAAATTCACTGCATGTCACTCTATAGTCGGTGACGTGGACGTGCTGCGGTCTCGTCATTTGGAGACTCGGAACGCTTTCGCGAAGTTACGATCGGGATATTTTTGCTGTTTTTTTTTCTACAAATTGTTATGCTTTCGATTTTATCATACGTTAAAGCAGTCTAACCACGATGTCTTACTGGAGAGATTTAAAAAAGTTTTAGTGCAATTTCACCACTTTGAAAGCTATGAATGGAAAAATACTCTCGACAAAATTACTTGGACAGAAATGCAGCTATTTTTCTCCTTGCATTTAGACGCTAATAATTTTTAAAGATAGAAATGCAGCTATTTTGCTCCTAGCATTTTGACGCTAATAATTTTTGAAGACTAACTCTGACAAATTTTAACCTTAAATTTGTCAATAGGACAAGGCATCAGGCTATCACCTCACTTCAATGTAACTTTCTTTCCATCCTTTTGTTTTGGTCCCTAGTTTTTTTTTAAAGTTTTCCTGTCATTAGATCGATTTCAGGGATTGGCAATTCTGATTGACTTCTAATGACGAGATTTGGAAGGGGCAAAAAGTATTTGCATTCAAGTTTTTAAATTGACATTTGCTGCGGAGTGAGCTTGCCTAATTTGCTGTTGTTCGAAAAACTTTCGTAAAAGCTTATTAGGCTTGCTTGAAATGTGTTTTATTTTTGATTGTGAATGAATTCACGAAAAGAGTCGAGATTTTGATTCCGACCAGTTTTGAGAGCTTCCGAGATTTGCTTTACATTTTGGGAGCTGACCTCAGCAAAAGATAATGGCCGAAATCGAAGCGTATGTTGCTTGTGAAATATTGAAGACCGTCTCATCAGTTTCTGCATAAAGTTGAACTAGAGATGACTTCTTGTCGTCATTCGCTGGAAGAAATCAATTTGCCCTCTGCATGAAAACTTCCTTTTTTGTTAAATTTAGTCCTGCTTCCATATCTCATCAATAACCTAAACTGACCAGCAATAAAAAGATGAACATTTCGTTTGTTGGCCTTGGCAGTGCTGTGGCAGATTCTTAGTTCCCTTTATTTTGCCCCGCCTCTGCGTGCCCAGTAAGGGCTTCATAATGGAAGGTGCTGCGTTAAACGAGTTTCTGGGCCGCCCCTCGGGCCTCTCGCGGCACTCGTGATTACGTCTGATCGTGATCAGCAGCTGTGGTCTGGACGGACATAGAAGGTCACGAAGACCTGCATGTGATGCTAGTGCAGATGAGGTCTGAACCCTACAGATGAGGTCTGAACTGTACAGATGAGGTCTGAAGTTCACCGATGTGGCCTAGAGTTTACAAATGAGGTCTGAACGGTCTGCAAAAAGTCAGCATTTAGCCATTTCATACGAGGTCTGCATTTTTCTCTTACTGAAAATGTCTGAATTTAGTATCAGCAGTGAAGGACACAACTACGAATTACTAATTTGTTGGTATTCATATCGTTTTCGATTTCAGTATTTCCCGCTTGATGCGATTAGGTAGAGGTGAGGCCTTCGTCTCTTGTCAGCTCTGCAGAGGGGAGGCCTTCGTCTCTTGTCAGCTCTGCAGAGGTGAGGCGTTCGTCTCTTGTCAGCTCTGCAGAGATGAGGCCTTCGTCTCTTGTCAGCTCTGCAGAGGTGAGTCCTTAGTCTCTTGTCAGCTCTGTAGAGGTGAGGCCTTCGTTTCTTGTCATCTCTGCAGAGGTGAGGCCTTCGTCTCTTGTCAGCTCTGCAGAGGTGAGACTTTCGTACCAACACAGTAAATGAAGCAGCATCGGCTTGTCCATAAAATAGTAAATGCAACAGCACCGGCGTGGCAGTAAAAACAGTCACTCGCCTGCTGCATCTCTTGTCGGTTCCCAGGCGCCTCTTAATGCGGCCTTCCTGCCTCTCTTGCTGCTATATGAGGCCATGTAGGTGCTATGTGTGTTGCTGTGGGGCATTTTTATGTTTCTATGTGCTACAAAGTGATGATGTTAGGTGTGACTGGTGTTGGTGTGAGTACGCAGCCTTTGATGAGCTAAGAGCAGTTAATTGAGAGTCGTGTAATGTTCCCTTATTTGCTATGATAAGTAGTCTGTCATTAGATGGCGAGCGGTCTAATTATTTATGCCAGAAATGGAGAATTAATTACTTGGAGGGGCTCGTGCGCCATGTTTCTAGTACCACATGTAGTTCGCCATGTTGTTCTTATTTGTTTATTGTTTACAGGGCAAAAATTATTCGCATCGTAAACTCCCAGGGAACTAATATTGACAGCAACTCTTTAAATGTTCTCATACATTCATATTTTCATCATTGTTACCATGGCACTTTGGGACCAGCAGAAAACTTTTCAAAGTATGCCCAAGTACGTGGTTTGCATAGAATGGAAGTGCCCACTATAGAGGCTGTGTGGGTTGGATGGTGGAACGTTAGCTTTGATCTCTGGTCGGCTTCCTCATATCGGTGACTGTCAACTCCTGGATGAACTTATGAGCTATGGAATGACATAGAAAAAATTATTTGATACATAATATTTGAAACTTTTTGATTGGATTCACACTCACTTGGCTATTTAAGAATAATAAAAAATCGTATCTAGTGAATGTAAATGAGAAAATAATACACTATTTACATTTTAGCTAACTTCCTAATTGTATTCACGCACACTCGACCTTTCCAAAATATGGTTGTAAAAGTATCTCTAACATATATGTTTGTCAGCTGACAAATTGTATGCATTACAAGTTTGAAGTTTTGGCGTATCAGTCCGGCTTAAACCACCGCAAAAATTACATTCGATTAAGTTTTCAGATTGGCTGAACTCTGTCGTCATAGGTTCGATTGAATATCATGATTATTTTTGCCTCGAGTAACGCTATTCATAACCATGTCTCTCTGAAATCGTATTCGAATCTAACTCTGAGAGCTGTCAAAGCAAAGTATTATCTAGTAATGCCTTTGTTCTGGTATCAGATGCGCGACTATTACTACTTGCAAGGGACATTCACTCGTCAATTTTGCGTAAGCATCGCGCAAGACGTAGTGTATAGTTTGTCAGAATACATAGTGATAATTCACGTCAGAGGAGTAATATGCTTAAAGGTTAAAATGTTCAAATAGTAAATACACAATTGTGTTTTAATCCTAATTTGTGACGCGAGTATATGCTGCGTTGAAAGAGAGCTCACCCCCGTATTTGTGACCATGGTATTAACATTCCTTTCAATTGTTTGCTAAACTCATGTCTCTCTCACTGAAAACATCTTAACTTGGAGATAAGTGCATGCCATTGAGGTAAAAATAATGAATATATGAGCACAACCATGCAGTCGACGCTCTTGCACGCCTCGTTAACCCTCAGTAATAGACATGATCGCCTCTGATGTCGTCGCTTTGACATATCACGGCTATGCCTGTATACCGACAGCTCCGTCCACCATCATTCAAATGCGGTACGTGCAGTCAAATGTTATCATGGATTTCAAATACAGCCATTGATGGTGCCTTGATCCAGTTAGACGATTGTTTTCGATGCATGGTATCCGAATCTTTCCACTACAAAATATTGCATTACAGTGTGCCTGAACAGTGTGCAGTGTACCTGAACTAAACGCATATTCATATCGTCGCCATAATTCTTGGAATGTTTGTACACATATTGTAGGCTGACTCGTAATTGCCAGCATATTTTATTTGAATCACACAGTCCTTGGTTTTAAATGAGATTTCCAACTAACGGGAAATCCGTGCGTTTGATATTAATGAGAATCCCTCAATGGCGCCGATAGCATCTTAGGAATCCCAATCCGGCTCGCTTGCAAATTTAAAGTGCAAGCCATCCAAGCTTGTTGCCTAGACTTTATAATGGTATAAATTAATCGAATATAATTCAGATACACTCTACTGCGCTGATGTGCTCATCCGTTCAATTGGACGCTTCGTATTCATTACCATGAACGGTAAATTATGTAGCTGTAGCTCAGAACTCTGCCATACCGATCTCTCAAGGGATGTGAATAGGGGTTAGTGATATATGAAATATTCATGCACGAGCGGAAATTATATTTTTTATGCTTGGTCTGACAAATTATTTCTCAACCAGCCATTTTATTCACCTCCCCTCTCGGGATGTTTTGAACCAAACTATAATGTTTTGGGCTCCGTTGAACGCTTATGTGTTGGTTTCCCTAGCTGTCCCGTAGCGTGCTCTGTAAAATTCTGCTATTCCTACCTCGGGCCAACGCTTAAGATGCTTGCATGAAGATCTTGCATCACCCGTCAACGATCTGCCAGACAGACAAATGATACCCTTGCAAGATCATGTTTGCAGATCACAAAATTGCCCTGCACTTACCAACAAAAAAGTTGAGCCAGCAATCGGTCGCCGCCTGCACGTGAGATGCAATTTTTTGTGCTCCATCCTGCAGATCGAGATGCTTCAACCGATATCCGAATTTCTAAGGTTAAATACCGTACCAGTTGAGTTAATCGAGTAACCAACTACTTTTCAGAAAGTGTTTCACGTTGGTTGATTGCTTCGTTGATCTACTATCGCGAATTACGGCAAATTTTGTATAAAACCTCAGTTCTTGGGCTTCGTCTTGGCCATAACTGCATTTTACGAAAAAGCTCAAAAAATGGGAAAAGCTCAAAAAATTTATATTAAGGCTGTTATAAATCGAAAACTGCTGTTGTTAAACCGAATAAAATGGGGAATGGATTGTTATTGCTAGTTATTAGCACAAATAATTCGTTTCCGAATTTGTATTTCATGAATCCGCGTGTTCATGTGTTTTGCGTGTAAATAAGCCTCTGAATGAATGGCTTTTTTTAATTATGGTTGACAAACGCCTCTTCATTGCTACCCACTTGCATCATTGATGATATTTGAATTAAATCGCTAAATATTTCATATTTCGATAATTCAAGCCTAGCATAGTATTTACCATATGTATCACCTACGTACCCCATTTGGGTTAACGTTCATACTCTGAGGTGTTCGCGGGCTCACATTGAGTTTCCTAACATCACACGCTGCTCTGAATTACCTTGGCTTCTGTAGAGTAATATAGTGCGGAGTTATTTCAGCTTTGAGGTGATCTGGCCCTGTAGTAAAAGAGCGCAGGGTTCAGGTGTTCTGGATTGAACGCGGTTTTTCGAAAGCTTAAACTATGTCCAAATAGTAAAATTAAGTTTTGTACGAACTATTGTCTTTTATAGAAGGTCAAGCTAAGCGAGCTCGCTTACCAGTGTGCGAGAAGTAAACTTGACTTTTTGCCTGAACTTTTTGATTGTCTTAGTCGCGGTTGCATTCCAAGAGCCAAGCTTCATTTTTAGCGCATTTTCTCATTTATGGAAAAAATGCACTAAATTGTGCTCGCCATGTCCGTCTGTCCGTCCGTGACTTCACGTTTTCGTCGAGACGAGAAAATGCGCTCTCTGTCACTCACTGCAGTGAGTACTGAGTTATATTTTTTTACTAGCGTATAAATACGCTAGTTTTACTAGCGTATAAAACTTTTAGTCCACCGTATAAAACCGTTTCATCCTTTTTTGATGATCGAGGTCGCGTCACTCATTAAAATACGTTTAAAGTCTGGTTTCCGTGTCTAAAAACCTTCTTTCAAAAGCTTGCTAGGTAGAATTCTTAGTAATTCAATTGTATTTATTTGCCTCTGTAGAATGCTTGGGATTACACAATAAGAGTCATAAGTAAAGGCAAGGCTTCGCTCTGTTCGCGCGTGAGCGCAGACCTCGTACATAGCTGAAATTCGTAACATAGTCACACCATATGCGTGCCTTAAACGAATATTTGATATTAACTTGTACCCTATCAGACAGTACATTAACACTGCTCGTTCAAGCTTTGAATTTCACACCGGACATGAAGTAAGTTGAGCACGTTTCTTTTAGTATCTCATTAGTATTCTGACTGATAACATAGCCCTAATTGCGGTCAATAAATCTTCGCATAACCAATTTTTCAAAGGATAGGTAAACCTGGTACCGGTTTTAACAATGTTACGCAGCACAAATATTAGTAATGTGAGAGGCGTTTATTTCTCGGATTGCTCTACGCTTTCTACCAGCCATCGAGTTCATTTCGGTGACGTACATGAACACAAAAATTATTCAGTTGAAGCGTCTTTGCATTTTATCCTTTTCCTATCTAGGCAAGAGAAGGTTACGAATGATTCATCTATGGCGATGTAAACTGACCTACTCTGGTTAAAGTGTTACCACACATAAACATGACGTGCAGCCATTACTGTTGCGCAATGACCAATTAACTCGACAACTATAGTGATTTATGATTCCCTACGATGACCGAGACATGAGTGCGCTGCTGCAAACTGTATCCTTCGGATCCACTGCTCTCAATAGAGGCCTTAAGTTAGCTCAGTTGTGATGGTTGGAGGAAGCTTAGTCGTAAACATATGTTGGTATGTATTTACTCAATCGTTTGATGTAGGCAGCTGTATAGTCGTGAAGGGGCTATGAATGCGTCTCGAAGATATGCGGTTGTAGAAGACCTCATTGCAGATGTATTATGTTTAACCTTCAAGTAGGTCGCTGACCCGGTGTGAAACGAGGTCGATTATTTGTCAATGTTTTAAAGTATTCCAGTTTTATTTAAAGTGCATATATCATTCATTTGAGCTTTAAACATAGATTTTTTAGAAAAGTTTCGAATTTTTGTGAAAATTGACGGTTTTTTCATTAAATATTCGTTTAATTTTAATCTAAATATTTTTTTAAATTTTAAATTTAATTATTCGAATTAATTATAGTACTTGAATAAGAGCGTTCTGAACTTTAAATTATTTTCTCAATCACTCGTGGACGATTTTGCTTTGTTTTACATTCAATGAAAAGACATGGATAGCTCCAAATTTCACTTTATGATAGTTGTGAAGATTCACCCTAAAATTTCCAATCGCTGTATTTATGATAGCAACAAAAATCATTGAGCAGCCAGTAAGTACTACATACATTCGTAGCACACTATAGTGGTTCACTTGTGGGTTTAATGATTTTGCCAGAGCTCAGCTCATTTGTACAAGTTTATCCGAGTACTATAAGGGTGTACTTTACCGTGCTACGTGTAAAGAAAATTCATTTTTGATCCTTTTTAGCCGTATAGTCGTGAAGGGGCTATGAATGCGTCTCGAAGATATGCGGTTGTAGAAGACCTCATTGCAGATGTATTATGTTTAACCTTCAAGTAGGTCGCTGACCCGGTGTGAAACGAGGTCGATTATTTGTCAATGTTTTAAAGTATTCCAGTTTTATTTAAAGTGCATATATCATTCATTTGAGCTTTAAACATAGATTTTTTCAGAAAAGTTTTGATTTTTTTGTGAAAATTGACAGTTTTTTCATTAATTATTCGTTTAATTTTAATTTAATTTTTTTAACTTTTAAATTTAATTATTAGAATTAATTATAGTAAATAAGAGCGTTCTGAACTTAAAATTATTTTCTCAGTCACTCGTGGACGATTTTGTTTTGTTTTACATTCAATGAAAAGACACATGGATTGCTCCAAATTTCACTGTATGATAGTTGTGAAGATTTACCCTAAAAATTTCGTTCGCTTTATTTATTATAGCAACAAAAATCACTGCATGAGCAGCCAGTAAGTATCTATACATATACATTCGTGCATTCGTAGCACACTAGTGGTTCACTTGTGGGTTTATCTAATAATTTTGCCTGAGCTCAGCTCATTTGCGCAAGTTTATCCTAGTACTAAGGGTGTCCTTTACTACTGTGCTACGTGTAAGAAAAATTCACTTTTAATCCTTTTTAGCCGTTTCGCAACAACGTTCAAACCTTGGGGAAACGTATCTCGTTTTACGTTCCTCACACGAGTGAAAATTTTGCGTAAAGATTTTTAACACCGTTTCGAAAAGTAGACGGTATCGATGAACGATCTGATACTGACAGTGTTTGTTTATTTCAATTGGTTTCTTAGTGGTTGAACAATGCACCAGTTGGGGCGACCGAAATAAGTGGACAGGCTTTACTGGTAAACATTTGGTGAATACAAACCTCGTACACAAATTTTTCTGCGGGATCATAACCTGAGTATAAGTTTCAACCTAAGCCTGCATGTTTCCCGCTCATTTGAAGGACAGACTGCACTCGTAAAATCCCTTTTGGAGAAAAGCAAGGTGGTATAAAGCCTTACATAGGTTTTAAAATGAGATCTAATGCTAGGCTTGTGGTTAACAACATTGACTCTCTTTGGTCACTTGACGGACGCCAACTTATAATTACCACATGAATTTATTTTATACGAAGCGCTCAAACAGTTTCATAAGCTTTATGAGCTTTACAGTTCATGCACATATTGAGCTCTCCGGAGGCGGACATTTGAATGACAACGTAAGGATTGTTCGGATTTGAAAAACAATTTCGTGAAGTAATTTACTCTATCAGAACATTTCTGGAATAAGTAGTACCCCCATTTCGATCACTATTCTTCTAGAATGTTTTTAGTTTTACAGTGAATATTCTAGTCAACAAAAGTTTCACATTGGTTTACAAGGCCTTTTAAAGCGAAACTTGAATAGTTTTTTTTGCGAGGTATTGCAATGGAAAAATGGAAAATGCGTCGACACTTCAGCCTGGGAAGAAATTGTGCTCAAATAGCCGCACTGTAATGGGACCAATTTGTCCGTTATCGTACCCTAGGCGTAATAGGATGGATCCGTCTAGACTCGACTGCATTTACAGAGAACAAACGTTGTGCGCGCGTGTCGAGTTTGCTCACAAGTGTCTAGAGACGCTCATATAAGCTAAAAAGAAAACAGTGCTCACTACAAGTAAATCTTTGTCCGTGAACCACTTGTGAATTATATAAATTTCACTTCGAGATCTATATTTTTTTGTAGTGGCATATTTCTGCTCCGTTCTCTAATAGAAGTTGGTGACAAAAAAGAAAAAGACTTATGAAGTGTACTACGAAAACTTTTAAATTAAAATAGGAAAATTGAATCAACTAGAAAACTCTTAATCTTGGAAATATAGCGTCAACCTGGCGCCGCCTACGTGGTCGTATTTCAAACCATTAATTATAGCCGTATTAGGGATAGCGAAGCCTGGAGAATTGAGTGAAAGTATGCCTTTGAATTCCAGACAGGTATCGAAACGGGGCCTACGTTCGACCGACTACGTACAATATAAGAAACCAGGCTGGAAAGCTTATGTAGGTCAATATTAAATTTTATTTCAGTGCACGCAAAAGAGACTAAGTAAGAAGAATCAGATTCAGAGCAAGAATGATGACGATAAATAATAAATACCCGAAGACAAAAGAGTCAAATGAAATTTAAGGGAAGAATTGAAGTAAAATCGCCACGCTAGCTTACTTTATAATTCTTAATTAATTAAATACATAATTCGTACTCGCGACCCTTTTGTGTATGTTAAAATATTGCTTAGCTGCTTATTCTCAGAATTAATCTCAAGGCAAATTATTTGTACACTCTTGTTGCTTCCCCGAATGCACGGCCTGCGCTTCTCAAGCTCTGCTCTTTCCTCGAACCCGTCGTAGTTGTGGGAGCAGTTCTCGGTTACCATGTAAACCTGTTCTGGACGCGCGCTAACTAAATGCGCTTCTAATCCTTAACTTTGAGACAAACGTACTTTCTTATTGATCAAATCTTGCTTAAGTTTAATTGTGATGTTGAGTCGCAACAAAAGTAAGTGGGAATAAGCTCTATATGTTGTCGCTTGTCACTTATGCACGCCTGTAATGAACGATTCAACATGAACTCAAAAGATCTTTTTTGCGTGTTTAACTCACGAATGCATACTCACGGGAAGAGCGCGTTTAACCCATGACTGTGCACTCACGGAAAACTGGGTTAACTCGTGTAAGTTGTGGGCACACGTAATGTCTGATGAAGGTATTTACCTATTTTCTAATAGTTTTAATCTTTGACATGATTTCTCTCTATTGCTCTTTATTGCTGGATTGAAAGAATATCTTGTTGTGAATTTTTTAATTACAGCATCCAGCTATATGTATGAGCGTTTTCTACTTCAATTGTGTTATATTGTTTTGGCATACTCGAATGATAAAGTATAAATCTATAGAAGATAAAGTATAAGTCGAACTGAGTTAGTTGATTTTATTATAACTACTTCAAATGCCATATGCTTGTCAGATTCTGGTTCCTCGAAGAGCTTGCGCAATAGTGTGGCTTCGCAATGCAAGTAAGAATATCAGATAAAATTTTAATTCTATTAATACAGATAATCTATATTAATACATATTCAGACCAAATAACAAGCGTTTTTCAAGTCTTGAGCTCCCTATTCTATGCGCACGTTTAACGAAAATCAAGGTATGTGCGGTAGAAGAAAGTATGTGCTTGTGATAATTAATTCAATTTTTACATATGTGTTTAACTTGTTTACAATGCAGTTGAAAAATGCCCCAGTAATCTCGTTTGTCTTTGACGTGAGTTATTAGTCCCCTTGAGCCCTCACATGTTGACCTTTTGCTGACGGAAATGCTGTATGTCGCTTTTGCATGAGGATGATGTGATACAGCTGCGCCACACAATTGATCCAAGAAGGACCAATTATCTTGAAAATTCTCTCATCAATTTATGTGACTTTTCTTTTGTACTTCCGCCCATTAACTCGTACAATCGTTTCTTCTTGCAGGTCATGTGGAGTACTTCACGTTCGCTAACACAGAACCCCGCATATCAGAGATAGCCTTATCCTTCTACTCGGGACTATTCGCCTACAACGGCTGGTGAGATATCGTTTCTTCTTCGCCACATTATAGACAACGAGTTTTTCAGCTTTTGGATTAATATCACTAAATATGTAACGTTGATAGCTTATGAAGAGTGAAGTTAGTTAGTTAGAGAATTGATCATTTATAATTTAATTGTTTTACTCCTCTGACTTAAGTATTTCACGCAAAATGGTAATTTAACCTCGGAACCAATTTTTGTGAACATAAGTCACGTGACTACAATTGGGTGTCGAATGTAAGCTTTATGTAAAAACGAAACATCAGACGAGATAAGATGATGAGTGTAAGATAACATTAGTTTTTGTGAGTAATTATCAGCTACGAGTGAATTCATAGTGGAAATAAATCCCTGCATAATTTTGACAGGCATAAAGCTAACGGAGTAAAGGGCATTTCAAAAATTTATTCCAAAAAATTAACTGTGCCAAATATTTTTTAAACTCAATTGATTTTCAATTGAAATTTAAATGAAGAAAGAAATGGAATGGAAGATAGTTGAGGTTCGCCAAGTACATCGCAAATTATCCTAGCGGTAATAAAGACGTTCTGCTCCATAATAATTCAGTTATTCCGTCCTCTTATACCCCGGCCGAGTTTTGATTGCTTTTCCTCGACGTCTGGAAAAATGTTTCTCAGTTACGTCAAAGAAGATTTCGAAGGATTCAAGCTCGGCCACAATTTTACTTCACAGCGCAAACATTAGATTTGTAGCGGACGAAGATTGGTTTAAAGGATTTACGGATATGGAAATTAGGACCTGAATTCATGGAAACGTAATAAACAATTTAGTTTTTAGTGTGATCGATAACAGTTTGATCTCTGTTAGTATTCAGTTCCATTCAGTCGGCCGAAATTGCGATGCTCTGGCAGAATTGGGGACTGCGGTCGATGCCCCAAGTAATCTAGTGAAGATGCTCCCCAATTCCCAAAAGTTGGTTAGCTGCACGATTCCATCACCAAAACTTTTTCCATTAACGCACGAATCGCACTCTTTTCTCTTCCTGATGGTGCAGATTATCTCTTGAAAAAGCTGCCTTCTTTACCTTAAATGTAAGGCATTCATACAGAGGATGAACTGAATGATTTCTGCGATGCTTCTAAATTGAAATTGCAGAGATTTGATGTAAAACGCCCGGTATTAAATCTGTTCTGTCATTCGAAACGAAAATGTCTGGAAATGATCCCTCGGTGACTAGATATGACAGTGATGCATTTTCTTTTCATTGAAACTGTTCATGATAACCAATGATGTGTCCTAATTTCTGTCTAGATTGTGAGCGAAGATATCCTTTAATATCTTTGAAAGCGGGTCTAGCCTTTGGAGGGGATCTGGGTTATTGAAAACGAGTCTACTCCGGGAGCTCTGACGTCATCACATGACGTCATATTCTCGTTCCCTTTGCCCGTACCCATACCGACTTTAACTCGGCATTGGGGTCTCTTTATTGATCGGTACCAGGTGGATCCGAGTGATTTAGCTGAAAGATCCAGCTGTATGTATGAGCATTCGGTTAAAAAGCAACTGTATGCAGTAACATTGTCAGTAAAAATCCGCTGGATGCGATGAAATTATCGTAGCTGAATACAAAAATTCACGAAGCGCGCCGCCTGTTATGAAGTGATGATTTTAAACATAACGCTGCGTGGATCAAATATAATAGCTTCGTCTAGAACCTACAGATAAAATTTTTCCTGATATGAACGAAATTTTTCCATTTCAGGAACTACTTGAACTTCGTCATAGAAGAACTAAAGGAGCCGGTCAAGTGAGTACTGCTTCTATTTCCTGTATTGAAATATTTTTATCGTACATCTTTATTTATACTTGCATAGGATGAAAGTATTTTACTCTGAAATAATTAGTAATAAATAAAATTTTGGTTTGGGTACGTATTGTATTTAAGTCGTTGTATTATTTATTCTCGCTTGGCAATTATTCGTACCTGAAGAATGCGTCGAAGGTTTCTGTTGTCTATTACGAATGTTTTTGGTTTAACACGCGTACCTGCACAGACCAATAAAGTTATTTTCATATTCTCTTTGAAAATAATTGAACCGACCCGATCAATCTTTTTAGTATTTCTTGCTTAACTAACATAAGTATCGCTACGATTGGATTTCGAAATGTTCTATTGTTGATAGCCTCTAATTGACAGTACTGCAAAGCCATCGCCGGCACGCTAGTGCAGTGATCCAATTCTGCATTCGATCTCCTCAAATGCTTCCGTGTTCCAAAACCAGTTGTGAACATTCAAGTAAACGACCGTTGCAACCCGTGCTGCTTCAAATAACTGCAATTCATTATATTGCAGAAATGCTTTTGCAATCAATTATATTGCTTTTTTGTAAACGCACAGAAACACCGAAGTTGCTGACTCATGACGAGCAGCAGAGTACCGGCTATGTGCAAGGCTTGCAAGCAAAGTCTGTGCAATCCTGCTCAGTCATTCTTGTTTATAAAACACGGTAACCTAATGTGCACAGATTCAAAAAAGAACTTCTAAAGATTTTGGTACGGATTTTAAAGGCGCTTTAGCCGTGGCAGTCCCATAAACCGCCGGACATTGGCCACGTTTATCGGCTAAACTTGTAGAAGGGAAATTCTACTCTGATATAGAAAAGTAAAAACGATGCTCCGTTGTTTTTATAAAATGTCGTGCCATTCTTGATAATTTTCAGGTAACAGACTTTGATTCAACTTCTGAATCCAGATATCATTAAATTTATCGATATTTTATTTGCTCAAAAATCAAACAAAAATAAACTCGGAAACATGTTCAAGTGCAGTAAATCCATTGAAAACTTGATAGTTTCTCCTTCGAGAAAAGCACTTGAAATTTACGAAGCCTTGCATCTATAATTTTGAGATTCAATTAAAAACGAAAGTTTCAGCGCACGGGCGTCTGATTAAGTATGAAGATTCAACAGAAAAACAATAGAAATTCGCACGAAAGCAGGTACATGTACGCTTGAAAATAAAGGGACTAAAATTTTTAACTACCTTTTGGAAGAGGCTTCTGATTGAGGATGACAAGCGAGACTAATCCTGGCACTCAGGTTCGTTTAATTCGCGTAACCCGTTGCGGTATCTATCGCTGCAGTGGCGTAGTCCATACAAAACAGTACAGCTTCTCTTCCAAAAAATATTTGTTTAATAAATACGTCTAATATCTCGGATAACGCCACAAAATCTTCAAATATAAATTTCTCGCTAGAAATTAACCAATAAAATGGAAGTATTAGAGTTTCCGAAGCTATATTAAATCCTCTAGATTAGAGATGGTACAGCAAAAAGTGAGGCTGTGCGTGTAGAATACTAGCGATTCACTTCTACATTTTTCATGCTGGAGATGATGTACATGACAAATTTTCGTAATTTTTATGTACATTTTTATGGAAATTTATTTTAATACCAATTATGAAATTTGAAAATATCTATAATAATATTTCACTGTTGAATGTGCTAACAACTTAAGGACTATTTGCGACGTCACGTCATGCGTAGTGAATTCTTTCTATGAATACCGCTGAATGTGATAGCGGACCACTGTCCCGTGAGCCACGCAGTTACCCTAAACTGCGAGGCCTTAACATGATGACTGAGGAGAGTATGAAGTCTGTATTATTGTGCATTGATATAGTATGCTTCGAATGACTCGTACATCGCATGTCTAAACATCAAGCACAAGAAGGCTTTCATGTCGATGACAAGAACCTCCACTGCTACCGGCATATGGATAGCTGCAGCAGTGCGGAGGATCTATTTTGTCAATATTAATTTTACGATTAATCTACAATTTGCTTTTGCTCTCTCAAAATATTTCCCTAAGAAAATTTAGTTATATCATGTTCCTTCAATTTGCGTGCGAAAATTTTCGCGTCCAGATTCCACTCACCGGGTTATGCTGAATAGAGTATTCTTCATTCAATTTGTTGCTTCTGATATTATTATTACTATAACTTAGAACTGAATTGTTATCTTCCTACTATATCCCGAAAGTGGATCTTATTGTTAGGCTCATCTTTAGTTTTGTTTAGTTTTTTTTAATGCTCTTTTATTTATGCTTTAATATTATTGATATTTGTTCCTGTTGGTAAGCGCCAAAATAAAATTTACCGCGGCTCATCACAGCGCCAAAAGTTGTAGCAAAGCCACGAATAAATCGGCCGTACGTGGCACCGTCACGCTCGTAGCACATGCTTATCGAGGGCTATGCAAATAGAACGGCCGAAATTTCCTCCCTCGTCAGGCAGAAATTTCCTCTTAAATTCGGATTACAGTACAAATACGCGTCGACTTGGCGCGCGTCGGTGTTGAGGATACTTGCAGACATGCACCTCGTAGATATGTCTTCACGTTACTTAAGACTTAGATGCAGATGCTAGAGAATATCGCGGTTACGATTATGTAGACCGAAAGTATGCAGAATAAAAAACAAACGCGTAGAAAAGCACACGATCGTGGGAAGGAAGTAGAACCTGACAGAACGACGGTGAATTGAAATAGATATGGAGAATCATTAGTATTAGTTGTCTGATGCTTAATTGTAACCAAAAGCTGGCGTGAATAAATATACAAATTTTTCTCACTCGATGAGAAAATGCAAACATTAGTCATCAGAATTGATTGACTTCGCGCTGCTCATAACCATTAGTGTTTATAATTGACCTTGGAAAAAATGTATCCCGTTCACGAACATTTTTTTATAAAGCCTGCCCAGCAACAGGAGCTTGAACGCTGCCAGGGTCACCTCTTGGCACCTTGGCATGTGCTACATGCACTATATACTGTTAAGGGGATACGCTTTTCGTAGTGACTAGATCGCCAAGACTTAATTCTAATCGGGCATGTTTATTGCGATACTTGATTGTAGCGGCACGTGTTTATTGTGCCGTGTTGAAACAATTAAGTGTTGATATTCCATGGTTTAGAAATGGAATTGGATCTCTGGAAACAGAGTTTATTCTTCAGTAGCCCAGGAGGAGTGTTGGTTAGATATTCGTTGCATGGAAAAAAATAACGAATATTGTGAATTAATTACTTAGTTAAAGAGCTTCAAGTGATGGATTCTTTCAGATGATTTCAACAACTTGGCCCCGGCCAAAATGTCCGTCAAATTAACAATTTTTGAGTAAAGTCAACTAAATTATTATTTGCTACCACGCTCGCAATCTCATTCCACTGTATACATCCCACGTTGCAATAATTCGTGCTAATTCAATGTGGTTATTATCTCAGGTGGAACTCACAGTAATTATAATTGATACAAAGTTGATGTGGACGTAACAGTTTCTGTCGTTGCCGGGGCCAGCCTCCTGGGTAAAATTTTCATTCACAAGAGACTTTGATGGCGGTGTTCTTAAAAACTGCACTACTTTGTATCATTAACAATCAGTAGATAATAACTGTAGTATAAAATAGTTTTGACAGAGTGATTGATGTTGATTCCATGACAGGAACCTGCCGCTCGCCATCTACATCTCCATCACGCTGGTGACAATAGTGTACGTGCTCACCAATGTCGCCTTCTACACGACCCTGTCGCCCGCCGAGGTGCTCGGCTCAGAGGCCGTCGCTGTGGTCAGTATATTACAATCCTACTTTACAATAAAAAATATTATTATTTTGCAGCATCTTAGTGAAAAATTTACTAAGTTGGGCAGCTTCTTTTTCAATGATTTTTTAGTTTAGTTTATTCATTTTCCCCCCTTGTATCTTCACTGCTCAACTGGAGCCGTTGAGTAATTGAGAAATTTTCCATAGCTAACTAATTTTAACTCGAATCTAGAATTTAAAAATGGACGCAAAGGATTAAATTAACTGTCCAACATATTTTGAAGCTATAGATGATAATTTACTCGTGATTCTTTTATACTACCAGTGTATTTTCTGGATAAGAAAGATAAAATATTTTTTGATTAATAATATATCAATTTAATCATTCTCGATATGTGTTCACCGTTCTTATTGTTCACGAAATTTCCAAACATTTCCATTATTTCTAATTGGAATAAATATTTACCGTATTCTCTAAACATTGTTATTAATTCATGCGATGTACTATTTCAGCTTTAATTTCAGTTGTTTTAATTAGTGCTCATTACAAATGCGTTCGACTCAATGACCTTGATTGTGATAGTGCGGACCCTCAAAGGTCCGTGCCGTTCTCCACGAGTCCCTGTTCTGCTGATGTCCTTCTCTTTGTACTTTGCTGGAAGATAATAGCATTTCTATGACTGCGTTCACATATTGCGATTGGTAAACTAGAATTTATCGTATAATTTTAAACGTGGTCCACATTTTTCCGATTGCAATTCAAATTCCAATATTTCTTCGTGTAGTCATTTAAGGAATTTTCTAATTGGACCAGATTGAAATTCATTTTCAAATAGAAACCTAATCTATTTATTTTTGGATTCAAAACTTTCCGGGGCACCGTAGAATTAGTAAGTTCCAAGATATCGTAACCAGACAGTTATATTAATCATTTTCTTGGCGTACGCGTAATCGAGCGGATGATGGCACGCTTTGATTTGATTCATATGATCGCCGCGGAGCAAAACTTGGCGCCTTGCAACTGGCTTTACAAATAACAAGGCAGCAAACGAGCCGCTGGAGAAGAAGGACTCCTCATGGTGCCCCAGATGTCCTTGAGATGCCCCATGCTCATCTTATATATGGGCTAGCGAGATGTTGCACCAGTCCTGAATGCAGATGCTGTAAATTTACCTCTATATTTACCTGCATCGAGGCTTTTGCGATACCAAATTCTAAACGCCATGTTTATACTCATTATTCAGTGTCACTGCTGACATTTGGTTAAATATTTTGGGCAATTCTTCCGGATTTATACGGAATAAATGCATTTATTCATAGTGTTGACGCTCATGAATTCCAAGCATATGCTTCAACGAGCCGTGCAACTTTACTCGGACATGATGGCCCAAAAAGAGTACTCAAATATGTACAGAATTCCAAAAAGCCATGACAACACTAGCCTACCACCCTGAAACTTACTGATAAATGATGCTTCTCATGCGGGCTGCGGATCAAGATAATTTATCTGCAACTTATCGACGTCTTCCGTCTGACAGAATGTGGCTTGGTATTCAACATAAAAAGATCGTTCGTATTAGATGCCATGTTGAAGATTTCTTACTATAAAAATGTTCAAGTCGGGAGCTCCCTGTTCTATGCGGAAGACGAATATCTTAGTGTTATGCATTAAGATCACGCGCTTGAGTATCTGTCGTGGCATCAGCTTGCACGTAATCCAGTGAGCAGCCTGTTACTGACGCACGCACCTTGACGACAGGCCTTGGCACGGACGTGGGCCGGCTGCATTCGCAGGCGCTACTGTTGCTCATCTCGTGTGCAATGAGAAAAACCTAGAGTAAATTGAAATACATTTATAAAGGATCGAGACACTTCAGCTGAAATTGTTCGAGTATAATCATTGATCAATTGTGTACTCGCATGATATTGGAAAACTAACAGTTTAGTTCATCTTACGAGTGCCACTGTTGCTCATTGCTATATATGGACTGTATATTTTAGAATTGGCTCCTTAGCTTGTAGTCTCGGACTGGTTTCGCTTTGCTCCTAGTCTCCTGCTCATTACCTACGCGTTAAAATAAACTCGTTTGGCTTCAATCTGATTGGCTGAACGCTAGGGCAGAGCACCCAACTCGCAACGCTATTGGCTAAGACGGCAGGAGGGGCCCAAGTCGCGTGACTACTCTGGCTAGCCCTAGTTACATTACTGCAAGCTCTATTTCAAACTATTAAATGCAACATTAATAATTTGATGTCATGCGAGTCGGAATCAATTACAAACGAGCTTAATTTATGCTTGCGTTGGTAGATTTTTGCTTGCAGAACGATTCCCCTGACTTCTATCCCTGTCTTATTGGAGCTAGTAATTGTCTTCTGGACTGGAATTGTTCATAAAGCTGGGCTGCTTACCATATACTGTATCACTTGGATGACATGATATTAAACTGCCATATGTTCGGTGTAACTTTTGCGCTTGACAGAGGCTATCTTGTAATATACGGCTTTCTCATTCAATTTTCTTCTAAGTAAAAATTGTATTTGTATAATTGACGATGAAGAGCTCAGTTCTGCCAACTGACAATAAGCTCGACTGCGTAGATTGAAAGCGGGTTCTTGGTAGTGTCGCACGCAGCGGTAGTTAGGTTCACACATTTGGGAAACTTGCCGATCTACGAAGTCTGCTACTGCACCTTGTTTTACTGAGATATTACATGCGTGCTATTTTCTGAAGATGACTCAATTGTGTCATTAATTTTGTCGTATGTGAGATTTTAAAAGGAACTATTTTACCCTATTCAATTAGGTATATATTGCCGCAGAAAGTTGCGAATAATCGTTTCTTTCTGAAACATGACAAATTCTGGTTCATCTTAAAATAAATTTTGATGATTCTTTTTGATGCACAAATATTCTAACCAGTTTATTTTTTCTCCAAATTATTTAAGTCATAAAACTTGCACAGAATGCACACATTTGAGCTACACTGGCAAGCTCTGTGGCCGTCATGCACTGGTCGCTTGTCCCTGTCACTTATTTCTGCCCCCTGAAGCCCTTCTGTCAGTTTTGCTCTAGATTTAGTCACTGTTTTTAGGCAGGTCAATAAGGCCGGTGGGCGTGCGCGTGCGCTTCGCAGGTGCTAAATATATTTTGGCTATTATTTCATTACTTACCTTATCGAATTAGGTTTCATTACGACATTTTAATGAATAATTTGATCATTTTTGACAAATGGGCGTTTTATTCTTCATCAAATAATTCATTTATGCGTATTTGATGTTCCAACATTTGACTGAATATTCATTATCGAGCTATGTATATAGCCTGCCATGCAGTCGCGAAGCTCCTTAATGACTGTGGTGGAAATAAGTGGAATATGTTTGATTCGCGATATTTTGGTGAGCTGCAGTCAAGAAAGCATTCCGACACCCAACTACTAAAGTTTAATATTTATGCATTTCTTGTAGGCTCGCAAGGCAGGAAAATTTACTCTATGTGGCAGAGGTTCCGTTAGAGTGAAGTTCTTATCCATCACAGGTATTAATTATTGTCAGTTAATGGTTGATGTGAACGAAGTTCCCATTGCCTTAGTGATATTCTTATCCCAATGATTAATTAATGTCAGTTAATGGTTGATGTGGACGAAATTCCCATTGCCTTAGTGATGTTCTTAGCACAATGACGAATTAATGTCGGCTAATTGTTACTGATGTGGACTGGGGTGTAGACTTTTGCAGAACGCCTGTACGGATCATGGGCGTTCATTATTCCCGTCTTCGTGGCGTTCTCGACGTTCGGTGCCGTGAACGGCGTTCTACTGACCTCGTCAAGGTAGTCTGCAATCGACGAACGAAGCTAATTTCTTCATAAAAATTTCATGCACGTTTTCTGTATTGTCTAATTTGTTCTGTATTGCCCTGAAACCTTTTACGCTGGTTTGCTTCTTCGTTCATTTGTTATTGATGTCTCTAAAAGGGTTTTAAGCTTAATTTTACTGTATCTAATTGTCATGGGATAATATCTGTTGGATTGAGTTTGAAGTAAATTTTAATTTCGGTTACGGTTGACTAAATCCGGTTGACTTATGTTTTCAAAAACAGAATTTTTTGAAATCGGTGAAGTAAAAGCTGTTTGTAATGAATTTGTTGTCTTCTAAATAATTTGTTCGGGGGTGTTGAAATTGTAGTTATGTGTTCATAAAACACATTCATGTCCGACTTATGGATCCCACCTTCCTCGACGGACGAGTTACAGCTACTACTATCAATTCAAGTCATTGTTTCAAATGCCACTTTTTTATTTATTAAATGACGAGGTATTGTAAGTTGTAACACCTGGCGGATAACCACCTGACATTTTTAGGTAAAAAAAAAACTTTTTTTCCTCTCAATAGTTTTCAAATGTTTCAAGATAACCTTTGTTTTTATTTACTTTGACATATCAAGCAACACATACAAAAAATTCAGCCCATACGAATCATGAAAGAAAATTGGAAGTGTTTATTAACTGTATTTTTTGGTGTTGTGGTGAAAGCTATCCACAACCAAACCGCTTGCATTTGTCTTCTCTTGGTTCCCATATTTTTTCCGAGCACCGGCACACGATCACTGATCACTCGAGTCGTCTTACGTGAGATGCAGCCCGCGTGTAACATGCCATGTACTTTAAAGCTTAAACCCTCCCATGACCAAGCATTCCTCATCGAATTGCGCATGCCATTTGACACGCTCTCTCGTAGCGAGGCCCCTGCGACATACAAGGTACGCTCATTTATGTTCTACGCTGTTATCGGTCCACAAGATGTATTAAAAAGATGTATAAAGGGTATAAGATGTATAATGGGTATTCAGGCTGTTTTGACTCTCAAGAAAAACCTACAGTAAATTGTTTGTGGTGGGAAATGGTTAAACATCTGCAATTTTAACTCATCCCAACGGATCCTCCAGATTTCTCGAGTCCACCTCATTTACCTGCCTAGGCAATCGATGGATTTTTTCATCAATCCAGCTCATATACATGCATCTTAATTTACCGCTCATATAAATAATTTTCTTAGTATTTTTTTCTTCAACAGACAATACTTTACTGTGTTTTTTTTTTACATATTTTAACTATTTGCTTTATGCTCCATTATGGATCTTTATAAATTTGTTGTCTTTATCTTTTCATTCTTTTTTTTTTTGCTGAATCCCCCTACAACCCTAAAGCTGTACAGAACCTGCTATATTCTCCAAATGAATGCTTTTTTTTTGGATCCCAGTGCTTCTGCTCTGTACACATGGGATTTATTTTATTTGTACCCATACCCTTGCTTAGTTATTATTAAGAACGAGGTCCAGCGATCAATGTGGAATCACTGATCAATTCGCAAGTTTCCTCACTAAAATATTTCTGATATTAATAACTTGAAAGTGGAGAAAAACCTAATTTGTAAACTGTTCTCAGTGCCAATTGTAAAACGACTAATATTTTACTTTTTCGATTGAAATAGATGATCTATAACTACATTTTTTAAAATGTTGGTGCGATTCAAAAAGTAATTTGACAGCGATCGCTGGTGTTCCTTGTAACGCTGAGTGCCGATGTTGACTGGAGGGCCGGTGTTGTTCGTGCAGACATTTGGCGACAAGTTGTACGGGAAATTCGCCATCTTAGTGCCAGTCTTTGTAGCGCTCTCTACGTTCGGCTCTGTCAACGGCATTCTCTTCACTTCCTCGAGGTACGGTGTCGTTATTATTCTACAGACTCGTCCGTGCTCATTAATTTCTTGAAATTCGTAAGTAAAAAACCTGCAGTAATATCGTCTCGAAGGCCCTGTGTATTCTTCCCGGATGGTTTCCAGGATTGCCTCATATTCAGGTATATAGATAGTTTCAACTCTGCTCGAAGGTTGTCGAAGATTTATTAGAGACGAAGAGATTGATCAAAAGAGATGAACTAAAGACTTAAAAGAGAGCTAAAATATCGATTCCAAATATTAGACGAACAAATTCTGGTTCTCTAACATTTGTGCGGATTCGTCAAGTTATATTATTGTCTGTTTTAATTTGACGGGTTAGGTTAGATCGCTGTTTCTGCGGATTCGACGGTAGCTGCAGATACCGTAAGCAGTTCGTAACAAACTTTTGTTACATAGAACTATGCATACAGTTACTGTGTCGGAAACAAGTTCATTTTTGTTACATATTCCTCAAAACTTGTCTGAAAAAAAAATATTCACTTGAATCTTGGAAAGTTTCAGTTCTGTCTCATATTTTAGCTCAGGGTTTAATTAACTTTTCGCTGGTTTCCAACTGGCTGATCGATGAACTGTTATGTTCATACGGGTTCGTTTGCTGTGATTTGCTGACGAAGTTTTTGGGCACAATTCATAGCCCGTGACAAATGAACAAATAATTGTGCTTCTATAGTTTTATAGATCCTTTATTAATTATGTATTTATGTCTTTTTATAATTGAAAAATTTGCCAATTGTTCTTCAAAACGGCATTTGCTAAGCTAGCGAAGCCTTGCATTCAATTTCAGATGAATAATTCATTGAATATTGAATTAAATTGAGATTAATTTATTAATCCATGAACTCGAGTGAGAAACTTTAGTTCCATGTAGTGTCTGTATAAACCACGCTGTTGGTGTGTATAAATCACGTTTCTGTGTTCCGTGCTTCTTTGCTATGTAAATGCTGCCGTGTCGCTGTATGGCATCTTAAGCATGCTGGTGAATTTTGTATGTATTTTATATTCATCCCTAGCCAGTTACCGACCATAACACGCCTGTTTGTTTGAATGCGCAATGCATGTTCTCTGTGTACTAATTATTTATTTATGAACGCGATAAAAAATATTTGCTGTTCAATCTATTATTTTATGTAGGGTTTTGTTACTTGTCGAGTGGTCTACAATTGTGAAATATTTTGTAGCGCAATGATAAAATAAAATGAAAAAGTAAGTCATGGTAGATTTGATCGTACCCGGTTCAAATTTTTTTGCACGCTTAATGCAGATCGAATGGCCTAAATTCTGTTTGTACTTGGATTATACCGTGTCTCAATATTTCCAATTAACTCCATATTCATAATGAAAGTTTATTATTTTTTTTATCTCATTTCTAAGCATAGGATTACACTGAAAATAAAATTGTCTCTACTGTTTCTTACGAGTGACTTGACAAATTTTTTTCTTACTTAATAATACCTATTACTAATTTACGGTGAATTTTAGATTGTTCTACGCCGGTGCTCTGGAGGGTCAGATGCCGCAGATTCTAACCATGATCCAGATCGACCGCATGACGCCAGCGCCCGCCGTGCTGTTCATGGCCTTCCTCAGCCTCTTGTACCTCTTCTCCAGCAACATATACGCGCTCATCTCATACGTCGGCTTCGCTACTTGGGTTCGAGCCTGACGAAAACTCCTTGGCCATGATAACCTTCGATATTTTCTTTAAAATGTCTAATAAGTTCGTGCAGATAAGATAATTTGCTTGCTAAATGAGGATACAGTTTTAGAATTTTTTCATTTTCTGATATCTCAATCTAGACAGAAATTTATTCAGTTTCTCTAACTTACCCGGTACCACCTGATAATAGGTTCCTCGACATTACATCTAGAAAATATAAATATTAAACTAGAAAATTGCTCTTACACTTGACAATAGTTTCCTCGATATTACATCTAGAAATAAATTAAACTAGAAAATATTGAACTAGCTTCTGCTCTACAGTTATCCATTGGCCTGGCGGTGGTGTGTGTCCCGTATCTGCGCTGGAAAAGACCAGACTTGGAGCGCCCTATCAAAGTGAACCTCTTCTTCCCCATCATCTACATCATCGCCACCGTCTTCATCACCATCGTGCCCATGATCGCTGCTCCTGTTGAAACTGGTTCGTTGAATTATTATTAGTATTATTGTACGAAGCATTTATCGTGGCGCCTGGTTCCAACGAACTTCGAGGGCACGTCACGCATGAGATTAATAGCAAGCGAAAAATAAATAGACACAATCGTTATCGTTATTTAATGACCATTTAATGTCCATGACTGCCCTTATTGAATGTCCATAAAGGCAATTCATCTACGAGAATACATCTACTAGGATTTTATTTATTATGAATACTAGGATCTATCTTCAGGTAGATAGTCTCGTTTGGATAAACGGTGGCAATTTGATGCATGCATTATATATCGTCATGATCAATGAAAAATTTTCCTAATGAAATGAGCTATACAAATTTTTTTCGCGGATTCTCCACGGCAGCGAAATATTTCTTGAAGTGACGAATGTGTTATTGCAGGCTACGGTGTGTAAATTGTTTTCCCCGATTCTTCATGGCAGCGAAATATTTCTTGAAGTAACGAATGTGTTGTTGCAGGCTACGGAGTGGCCATCATCATGACAGGAGTGCCCGTGTACTTCCTCTTCATTAAACTCAAGAAGCCGGCCTCCGTGCAACGTGTCCTGAGTAAGTGTTACGTCCCACAGCTAAATCTAATATTGTTCTACTTCGTCTCAATTCTCGTGAAGTAAGAGTTCTAAAAATTTAAATTTTCCGCGTTCTATTTTAATTTTAAGTATTTATTGATATTATTGAAAACTTTTTATTATTGTTATAAAGAACTATATCGAAGTCGCATGCTGTGAGCAGAGTTTATATTGTTTTTCTTGTAGTCGAGAACGCGTCACAGGAATGATCGTAATGGATTTAGTATAGGATATCTTTTAAATTAGAGTCCATATTCTGCTCTGTACACTTGAATGAAAGCTTTAATTTTTGTATACTATATGATCTTCCCGTGGTTGCGTGTATTGCTGGAACAATATATTGTTTTCTTCAGAAATAGATATACTCAAATGATATGATGCGCTTATATTCAATGGAAGCAAAAAGGGGCTTCGTTTTTGGGAAATTCTTAAAACGTTTTATATTATTGTGATCGCGAATTTAATGCAAATGTGGGCACGAAGTTTTTCAACTGAAGTTTCAAGGCGCCAACTAAGTAGCGACCGTTAGAGTAGCTTATATGTAGTAGTAGCGGTCGTGGAGGTTGACACATGTGCTTCTCTGCAGACTGGGTCACAGAAATTCTGCAGAGAGTTCTGCTTGTGGTGCCGAGTGAAGCTCGCCAATGCAAATAGAAGTATTGTTTGTTAGAAAAAAAACCTGGTGCTGTGATATAATGCTCTTAGCAAGTGTGATTGTAGTAACCGAAGTTTTAGTGTCAAAATTTGCCCTGCTTTCTGCTAGTACATACCTCGTGCAGCAATCCTCAAGCTTGTTTTACCGAATAGCCAAAAAAGTTTTCTCTCTATCCCCTGTGTGGCAATGTCTTGAGATGTATTTCTACTCGAGAATACAAAATGCCAAATCATCTCATAAGAAGATTGTTCACGACCTGATGTGAGAAGAATTAGTGGACATTGTTTGACTGCTAGAATGTAACTAAGTGTCCCTTGAGCTTGAAAGTAATATAGGGAAGGCAAGGGTTAAAACATTGTGAGGGAGAGTGATGTTTTCAACATAATGGGTTGAGGGCGAACAAATATTATTACGTTAGGCGAAACTAAACATTACCTTTCAAAGGCTGGAGAAACATTATCAGGGTTGTAAGGGAGGGTCGTTATCCTTATTTGCAAGCAAGAAACAACATTATTATGTAGAGGGAGAGAACCGGTTTCATTTAAAGGGTGGTATAGGTACGCTGTCATCCAGTACGAGAGAATGAACCGTTACCATTTATTAAGGGATGGATCGTCATTATTATTGGTATATGTATACGAAACTTGTGATTGTTAGAGAGAAGCATTTTATTTATTAGATAGGGGAATTTGTTAGAAGATACAAGTCATCTTGTCTTTTTGGGAAGGGGAGAGGGAACGTTCGTAAAGTTTGATAAGTAGCGAGATTTGCAAATATCTTTGAACTGCTTTTATGACATGACTCCCGCTAGGCCGTTTTAATCACTTTTGTATTTGGGTGTAGATATTGATTATACTATTCACCAAGATTACACTTCACACAATTTACACTGAGTCGAACTTCAGCAAGCATGTAGGTAGTAGTTTAATTGAATGTCTACTTTAGCATGTCGTTAGTAAAGACAGTAGAGTAGAATTTATTTCAACTGTCAATCTGAAGAATTGTTGGCAGCTGTTTGTCTCGATGGTTTTATTAAATAGTCTCTCGATGTTTTTTTAATAGACTTTAATATTGGGCCTCTGAATGTCATTTGTTCTTAATTTTATTAACCCTTGATATTTTACGTACATTTTCAGTTAAAGATATTTACGTAACTTTCTCATATACACGTAATTTTCCCCCACTTCCGTAAGAAGTATAATTACTATAATTATGAAGTATATTTATTTTTGTCCGATGTCGTTCAGAGCGTCACAGCGCATGTATCATCGCTGGCATGACTTCAATTAACAATGATTTGTTGGGTACAGTTTGACGAAGCCTCATAGAACGTATAAAACGCCTACACATGCAAATTATTCATTAAAGATTAGATGTGGTTTGAAAAGATCAATTGCAATGGCCTCAATCATTGCATGGTTCTTGCATGCTGAGTTGTGTACAGACTTCACATGCCGTGTCAGTTCGATGCTGAGTGGTGAACTGACTGTTTTTGACGTGTCAATTCTCTGCTGAATGTGAACTGACATTTTTTGACGCGTCAGTTCTGTGCTGAATACTAGTGTACTGACATTTTTTGACGCGTCAGTTCTGTGCTGAATATTAGTGAACTGACTGTTATTGACGTGTAAATTTTGTGTTGAATGGTAAAATGACTGTTTTTGACGTATAAATTTTGTGATGAATGGTAAATTGACTTTTTGACGTGTCAATTCTGTGCTGAGTAGCTTGTCTGAGCAGCTTTATTTTAATGATTGACGACTTATACTTGGGAGAACATTTTATCGCTACACGAATATGCTGTTAAAAGAAAGAGTCCTAAATATGGAGGCATTAATATGTGTATCTCATGTTCATCGTGGTTTCATTTGCTTTTCCTGTATTTTTTTTGTTGCCTTTCACTTGTAATTTTTCACATTTAACCGTCGTTTTCCAATGTTATAACAGTGCTCAAAATCATGACGCAACCATAGCGCCTTTGTTACGATGTATAAAATATTTTCATTTCATCTTGTGTTATCTCATATTTTATTTCTCTTCTGTTTATACATTGTTTGTGCATGTAATCCTGCAAGCTGCAGCTTCTCGTGATGAGCTCGCTTGTGTTTGTGTGATGCTTGACTAACGTTTGTCCGGCTTGTGCCACTCTCTCCACCCGCAGACTCCTGGACGTTAGCCTTGCAGAAGTTTTTCATGGTCGTCCGCCCCAACACCTCGTAAAATAAGTCAGTATATCTCGTACCAACGCCTCTGAAATCGCAAGACTGAAACACTGTTAAGTAGAGGCTACATTATCTTAACCTCAGTGGCCTCCATAGAGGAAAAGTTGTTAGTGAGACACGGGGTAGAAGTAGAATGACAGCCCAACCCATGACATTGTTCTATTGAAGGTACAGTATTACGATAGCCAAGACGTGGCGCCAAAGTGGCTCCAATGAAAAAGTTTTAATGACATTTGAGGTTCGAATGCCGTATCTTCCAAGAAGACTAGCGAACCGTACGGCGTAACTGAACATTATTTTGCAAATAGCTTACAAAACTCAATTCACGCAAGTCTTTTAACCGTTCAAATTAAAATGTAAATGGCCATCAAACCTACGCGCGGGGAGCTTTAATGCGAACGATATATACTTGGTTTATGCTTACAGTCGCCAACACCCTAAGGAATAAATTAGCTTACATTGTTTTATTTATCTGAAGTACTTTCAGTGAACCAGTTCTATATGGTGACGTCAAGTTTGAGCCGTTCGTCGTTTCTGTCACTTGAATTTTACTATGGAGCACCATACATCATGCCAATCATTCCAAGCGTTATGAACCCACATCCCATGTGTACGATTTATTTCATGATCGCACTTTCATATCAATGTAAGGCTAAACCCCACGTCCCATACTTTATGAGCGCCATGTGTTTAATGGTCATACGCTCACACCAATCATGCAAAAGATTAAACACACCGCGTGCATAATGATTATGAGAGCACAAGGCTGAATTTATTATATTATTGTGTTTATATTAATAACTGGTTGTCTGAATTTATTTTATATTGCCAGCAGAGTTTGGGTTTGACTTAGCGTTGTCGTGAGTTTGAGTTATTTTTATCTGCCAATATATCATTTTTATATGCCATTATTGAGTGAGCAAATATATAATCTGTTATTGATAGTTTCGTTTGAATATTTACTAATGCAGTTTTGAATATATAAATATATACTAATGCAGTTTTGGGGTCACTGCAGTCCCGATGTGTGCTTCGTGGGCATTGGTTGCTAAAGTTTTTCATGCGATAATTTTGCTTGTTTTCCAAGTTCCCTACAAATCAATTATTTGAGGAAATTTTAATTCCCGTTCAAGTTGAACTGAGAGTACCAGGCAATAGCTTGGTGGTTCATTTTAACTAATGCCAAAACCTTTCATTTACGTGTTGCCGAGATTAAGTACTATGGCATTATTCTCACCTTGATAAATGTATTGTAACAGCTTGGGGTACGTTATCCAGCTTCGTGGCTTGTCATTGCCTTAAAGATTACGGTACTGAATTTTCTATCAATGAATGCGGGTGAATTTTAAAATTTCCCGGCATTTGAGAAGTATCCAAATTCAGACGAAAACGTATTACAATGAATTATTTTTTTTACAATTTTTCTAAAGTAGGCGTCTTGCAATATTTTTTGGGCTGATATTATTGTTAATCGATCATAGCTATGTTATAAATTCACCATTGGCACCGCATGCGACCGTTTTCACGCATCTATATTTATTTTACAGGACGACTGGATCTGCTCATGCAGAAGTTGTTTATGGTCTGCGCTGCGCCGAAGACCGAGAAGGTTTAAATGCTGCTGAAATCTACTGGCATTTTTTTCGCGACATTTCGGGTGTAAACAAAATATTCAACCCGAAATTGACCGTGGATGACAGTTGCTGCTGGTTTGAACCCTTAGTTTTACCATTAATTTGAAGAACAACTTGTTTTGGGGTAGCCGCGCGTAACATAGCATGGTTAATCATAATCATCAGACCAATCACGATTGCATTGCTGGATTCCAGATTAAGGGATTCATGCTTGAAATTCCTTTTAGGGGGGACTTCTGAAGCCTGTCAGTGCTCGTCAGACGTTCTACGGGAATTTGGTACTACTTGGGGGATTGTTCCTGAGCGCCCCACCGCTGAGCTCGCGGTGTCTGACTGCAGGTCTCAGTTGTGGGGTTAAGTTATTATGTAGGTAGGATTTCTCACATTTCCCTTCTCTGTCTCAGTCGTGCGGGAGGCCGACGTCACGTGTTAGCGACCTCTTGTTCGAGAGTCTTCGTTTCTGATGCTTTTCACCTGTCCCTCCTTGTCACTTCCTCTCTTCGAGATGCTAACGCTGCTTTCTTCGAGCCAGCTTCAGCGGGCTGGACAATTAAGACCTCCCGTCCCTTGTGGATGATTTGAGAAAAAAAGGAACAATTTTTGATTTGAGAAACTTTCGATAATTGATACCTTACACCTCTTGGTGATGTTCATCTTGACTTCCGGTGGGAGATAGCTAAATAGCTGAAGCGCTAGTAAACATATGGCATCTAAACTCGTGCTTGAAATCGTTTGAAAACGGATTCTTGCATGAAATCATCTGAGACTTGTTGTATCATTTGAAAAACGAAGGAAGATACGCGTTCTTGACGTTGTCTGAGGTTGCAAGTTCTAAATTTCAAAATTGCAGATTGAGTTTTTCTGGAATTTCGAATAAGTATTTTTAACTGTTCAGTCTGCGTAGTACGACGGCGAACGTTTTATTTCCTTTAAAAATTTACTTGCGTATAATTTTATCTCTATTTAGCTTTTGATAACCAAGTCTTCTTTGGTAATTTGAGGAGATGAATCAAATTCACAGAAGTACTCGTATGTGAGCTTTACCCGTCAGTCGTACAGTTTTGTTCACTACTTTTTCAATTATTGGTTATGAATTATTCTCATTAGGTTAATGGTTATTCATTACCGGCATTGATTTTAAATTTTCTTGTCATTGTTTAGTTATTGGTATTGTATTGGTTGATGAATGTAGCTGTATTTTCATTGATAGAAATCCATTTTTAAATAATTTTGTGTTAATCTAATGCTTGATCCATGTTTTTTTTGGCATTTTAATCCATCATACTATGGTGCTGGATTTTGATTGCTGTAATATGATTGCTTTTAATTTGGCGTTCATCAAATGATCTAGCTATAAGTTTTATGTCATCACAGGGTGGTGTTGGATTTTCATTGCTATTGATCAATTTATTGTTCATTGGGCGTTTTACCGAATGCTTGCTAAATTTACTTTATGCTATCTTAGACCAACGTACTTGCCCTAGATTTTTAGATGATATTCTTTACTAGATACGCGTCGTTTCTAGAGTTACGTGAATTGTCATGATTTTCAAAGTGCCTGCATTCTTTATGATTCAGCATATCAATTAGAAGTCTCTGTTTTCATGATGGTAATTATGTTTTCATTGTTTATGATGTATGTAGGCCTCATTATAAGGTTGAATTCAGGTACATTATCTGACCGAATGAAATCAGTGATAAGTTTTTAGGCAAATAGTGTTTTGGAAATCTCTTGACTTTGCATACTTGTAAATGTTATTTTTAAGTTTGTAAAGGAATGTTTTCAAAAGCATATGGGGTATATTTTTTCACACCACTGGGCTTTTGCTCCACCTATATACGAGGCTCGGATTCATAACGCTTAATATACTACGTCGTGTGGTCGTCTGGTTCTTCTCAGCTCGTTGGATTTTTTTGGCTGATTAAACCACGGTGAGGCCAAGTAACAGCTCAAAACTCCGATTCATTTGCCAATCGGGATGATAGAAAATTAAGGAACCCAGGGCACTCCTTTTTTGGTGCTGCTGGTTTGACGCAGGTTAAATCCATCCCTGCGTACGGGAACAAAAGAGATTTTTTCAACACACCACCAAATGCTAGGAAATTATTGCATAATATTGACAAGAAATTGACGAAAGCCCGTCATTAAAGTCTACATACGGACTTTTAGGTAGAAATTTAGATTTTAAATGGAAAATGGTAACATTATAGCCGAAAAATTCGGATTGACTTGATAGCATTTCAAGTAGTAAATTATGCTGCACGATCAAGACTCAAAAGTTAGACAATGCTGTTAAATTCTCGAAAACTGTCTCACGTAATTTTTCGCTGTCATCGTATGTTCAGGGCATTTAAACAGCGTCGTAAAATGAGGATATTTCGATTAGATTTTTCGTATGTAGATACTTTCAATGGTAATCGCTATGGTCATCTTTAGCTTGAGACGTAGTCGTCCGTAATTCCTTACTGCACTCGGAACAGCGACGGCTTCCCGCCAACAGTTGAAAGACACTGCGATATTTTTCGGTCGTGTAGCTTCTGCAGCTCGCTTGTCAAAACTAAGACGAGATGAATGAAAAAGGCTCACTTTTGAAGATGAACTTTGAACAAATTATCTATGAAGATCAAAAGCTCTACGCCTGAAAAGTTTTATTGTTATGCAGAGTTCGTCTGTGAACCTTGTTCGTTAGTTTCACGACTCTAAGTGGTGGATTGGCTACGAATCTGTGTGAAGATTCACCAATATATTGACAAAATAAATGCGTGCAGAATGACGCTCTCCACGATCATAGAGGCACCATCGTTTGTGTCTGTTTTGGCAATAAAAGTTGTGTTATGGTGCGAAACCGTGGTGCATGTTAGACAGTTCTATGTTGCTGTCTTTTTTGTGTTGGCCCTGAGCAATCTTCGTCTCATGGTTGAGCGGTTAGCACAAGATCGAAGACATAAGTTTCTAGAGCTGCTGTTCACGGTTCTTCTCTCTAGAGGGTTGTTGATATTTAATTCCCCTTCTAGAGAAGACTTTAATGTCGAAATGTTTGCAAAGCGTGACTAAACAATATTTTTTTGCGCGATTAAGCCATGTATTGTTTTTCTCGGATGTGTTGTTCGTTGTTGAGGTGTTCGAAGATCGTCTTCCATAGCAAACCTGTGCCACGAGCACTCCATGTGGTTAGAGCGTTCCTGTTGTGTAGACTTTGTAGCTGTGTATTGTGAATGTTAATCAAATATCTCTAGAACAAGAGATAAGCATGACACATGTGCATGTATCCTCTTAACTTGCCTGGTCGTGTTCTCAACAATCGGAATAACAGAAAGCCCCTCATGTTGGCCTATAGAGAATATATTCTAGAAATAGAACTTCATCGCCTGCGACTTGAATGCCGTGTTGCGTTAATTTCTATACTGAAGTATATTAATGATCGTTGCGATGTGAAATGTGCAGAATGAAATGTTCTTGATGTAAGAATTAAAAAAACATGCCGATTGCAAAACATGCCGACTGCAGACAGTTGGATGTCTTGTGAGAATAATCATTGACTTCTAACGATGCTGGAAACCCTAATTAATAAAGTCATCAACTCCTAAGAAGGCAAATATCGAGACGACGGGCGAAGGTTCTATTGGAAATTAGCATTAACGTGTGATATCAAATACTAATTAATACAAATCTAATAGTAAATATTACCTATCAGTTAAACTATCAATACTTATTAATTTTGTTTTTGTTGTTAGTTGAAAGGGATAACAGCTGCACTGTTCATTTTAATTTCTTCATTCATTTTCTTTAAACAGTAACTATGAATTGTTGCTACACCTAGGATAAAGTGTTTCGTATTGTCTAAAATAAATGAGTTATGTGTCAATAATCCCTATTAAAATACTGATTGTTATCATTATCAATGAGTCATGTGTGTGTTGTGTGTATAAGATGTTGAATTGGATAGTAATATTTTACTTATGGTTCACTGTTGTGGCTGGATAAGTTTCTGAATATCAGGCTTCAAAACTGTACCTCTTGTAATAACTTAGCAGAATATATTTGTCGTTGGGACAGCAAAACTTGAGCCCATTTTTCGGTTTGTTCTTTTGAAGACAGTACTCGCCGAAGTTTTTAAACGGGATTCCCGCCAAAATTTAGCCGATTTTGAAGCCGCAGGCTAAACATGAAGCTTTACGGGTTCAGTTATTTGGCACTTTTCACTATTAAGATAGTCTCGAGTGAAATTGTAGTGAGCCATAGACGTCTAAAATATTTATCTGTATATTGTATAGGTTCACCCGTAGGTAATATATAAACCTCTGTCTATTAGATAACGAAGGCTTAGCTACGGTGAGGGTAGAGAAGGGCTCTTTTAACAGTCTGTATTTAATGAACAAATAGATATGATGACCGGCTAGAAAGACTAGAGCAGAGCATGAAAGACGCTTCTAATTGTTTGACTTATTCTAACCAAGAAACTTACAGCTATGAGCGTAAGCGCAGAGTGAAGCAAAAAAAAAATTTAATGTCTAGATTTTTAGACAATACCCAATTGACAACAGGTTGCAGGAAAAAAATTAAATAAATGATATTCGATTCTACAACGAAGTTTGTTACTTGGATAACGGACAGAGATCAACCTCGGATTTTTATTAGTAGCAATAATTATTTGCGAAGATGTTGGAATGTGGATAAATATTATTTGCAAGTATTTAAGCAGCGAAGTTGATTATGTATCATTCATATAATTTGATAAACTGAAATGAAGTGGATTAATTTAATGGATATGGGAGAGATGAGATGTAATTGATATGGGGAAGATGAGAAGTAATTTGATAAGCTGTGAGTGAGCAGCTTGTGGTTGCAAATCCTCATGTGTTTATAAACAGAACTCTTAAGCTGTGATTCCACTGGGCCGTCGAGACCTTGCCTCAGACGTTGAATTGATAGTTTACGTGTCATGAGAACAAGAGCTCTGTGGGCGGAAGCACAAAGTCTATAAAAGGGTTGGGGACTTTAAACTTTCCCCTCAGTAGCTTAAACAACTGCAGCGATGTAGCACTCATTGTACGTCGGCCTGAAGGTCGAATGTGTTAGTCGTACGTGTACCTGCACTTCAGTAATGACTTTGTTACCTACGACGCCGTAGTAAGACATCTCGGGTAAAAAGCTATTGTCGTTACTTATAGCTTAGAATAGTCAGTGGGCCACATGCTTACGCCCCATGACAGAACATTGCCAAGATGAGAAATAATTTGACGGTATTTCTACCGTTGTTGTAATACAATGGGTGTAAGAACAAGTAACTTGGTGCGTGCATTACAGCGGAGATGTAATAAATCACGCATCTTGAGGCATATGTGTAATATGACGGATTAATTTGATATTAATTTTATTGTGTTGTTAAGCGGAGGAGTTTTAAGATTGCATTTAAAACAATCTGTGGCTGGAGTGGTGCAATAGTAAACTCTATTTCATTATAACATTGATACGCGGCAAAAACCTGGTTGAATGTTAACGTCTCATATTTATCCAACCACTAGCTCCTGAAATTGTTAGACTAATAGTTTATTTAAAACTCTTTTAGAAAATTCTAGTTCACAAGAAATTCACGCCTTAATGGAACAAATGTTCCTTCTACTTTCAACATAATTCTAGGCATCGTTGAGTTTGGATAGAAACAAATGTTACTTTTACTTTCAACATAATTCTAAGCAACGTTGAGTTCGGGAGGGACCATAAAAGCCTAATAAATACAATTATTTGTTTTTCTTTGTTATTATCCATGTTTTGTTATCTTGTAAAGGTTCATTTCATTGATTCCTACAACTTTTTCAAATTTTTTTCGAGAACTTGCAATATTTTGATTTCACCGTCTTCATTTTGAATCAATAATTTCGTCGTGAAACTTTTCATCAATTAAAATAGAGTTTATTTTATCTTCACTGAATGACGCGCATATTTTCCTTATATTTTAATGAGCATGAATTCCTTCAGTCATAGCGAAGCTACAAGCAGAACGAATTCCACGCATAATAAAATTGAACGTCTGTAAGTTAATTAATGAAACTTCAAATAACTTTTATTTATATATCTGCTGGTTTCACTGACTTGGTTCGTTTCTAAAGTTAGAGAGTAGGACATGATATTTGTAAATATTTGTCAGCGACCATTTCTAGAATTATAACTAATTTTTACTCTATTTGTAGAAGTATAACTAATTTTGGTGACATATCCCTGGCTTGTTTATTGTTTCGTTGATGAGGTACGGCGAATGGTGACTCGATGAAGGCTCAATATTGTAATTTTTTACGGAAGATGTTACCTATTTTGTTGTATGCCTTTGATTTATAAATTGCCAACATTCCCTCGAAAATTTTAAAATTGTAATTAAAAAAATTGTGAATAAATGCCAGTCACGTCGAGTTAATTATAATGTGTAAAATGGTGTTGGGGCATATGTTGATTTTCGAGTTTTTAACTTCACATATTGCAGTTGAAAAAATACATAATAAGAGACAAGTATTCCATAATTAAGAACAAGTGTCAAATTATCAAGAATGTTGCATTACGAACAAGAGGTCGTAAGAAAATTTTCCGTATTCCCACACGTCTTTGGTTGTGTGGTTTAATTTGTGCAGAACTTGCCGAACCTACCCTATTTTGTTGATTTATAATTTTTAATATAAATCGAGTGATTTACCAAGCAGAAGGGATTTTTGACTTCGTTATTAAACAGCTGTGAATAATGACACGGACGGCCTTACACTACATATAATATAAGATATGCTTGCTTTACTGCGGTAGCTTCTTTAGTATTTCATAGAACCAACAACTGGGGTTCGGCAGGATGCCTCTAATCTTTATTTACAATATATCCTTCTTGTAGATATTCTTTGATTATTCCCTTTGAATTTTTATTCTGATACTCGTTATCTCCCTCATTTTCATTTTAATATTTTGGAGTCGTAGCAATACGCGACAACGTAGAATCCCTTAGCCTTTTTAGTTACATGGATTTCATTTTTTACACGATATTATCTAGATGATTATTTATTAATTTGCTGCGATTTAAATACAGATGACAGACCGAACTCCTGCTGGATGCGAATGTAGCGTGCGAATGAAACTTACGCATCGTCAATATTTTAGGTTTCATTTCCAAAGACGTGGTCTTATTAATGAGCTGCGCTTCTGCATATAAATTAAGTAGGAAGATTATGTCGGTAGATTTATTCGTGTTGCCATTGATTAGAGGATAGAATCACTGACATCTTTCTTTAGTATCCACATTTTAAATTATTCTGTACCTAGTTTTTAGTCAATGATTCGATCCGAGCTTCCACATCAGATTCCGAGTGCACTGAATGAAACACCTCGTATCTTCCATATAAGTCATGAGCTTCCACATTAAAGTACGAGTCCGTTGAATGAAACACCTCGTATCTTCCATATACTTCAAGAGCTTCCACATTATAGTGTGAGTCCGTTGAATGAAACATTTCATCTCTTCCATATACTTCAAGAGCTTCCACATTATAGTAAGAGTCGGTTGAACCTCAAATCTTTCAATCCCCTGGAGTGCTTCCACTTTGGACTGAAGCTCGCTCCTTATGATCATAAAATAGCGGGATGAATTCAAGCAATTCTATGAATGCATTCGTTTGAGAGTAGCTGTCAAGATTTTCATCAAAATAGGCAAACAAATATCACATACTCCTTTTAAAACGATCTCATGCGCGTACACTCGAAACACAAGTAAATTTATCAGCGAAGCACGTTAACTTTTGTCATTAAACAATTTCCTCGCTCGTTTGACGTCTTTGGAAATTAAATTGCACCTGTTGAAGCTGCACTTTATAGGCTACATTTATAGTGATGGCATCGTAAAGAAAATTCTACTATGCTATGACCTATGAGCCTCTATTAAACGTCGATTTGTTTTAAAGGAAGATCTCGTATATTTTGATTAGGACACTATATTTCACGCTGGAAGTGATGTATCGCCAGACTGGGCTTTGATAAACTATTTTAGCCGGTGTAGATTGAATATTGGAATTCATTGTAACGGTACGTCAATCATTTGTGTGCTCTCTCAACAGCACGCTTAATTTGGGCTCGCAATACTGTCATTCACGACAGCAATAAGTGAATAAATGTGGTATTGTAGTACCGTAGACTCTCATGGACGTTGTGAATAATTGTAGAAAACGGATTGTAAGGAGCTGCAACGCAATTGTTCCATCCATGGTTGAATTAATACTGTATTAATTCAACCATGGTTCCATCCATTTGGTGTTGATATGTAAACATTTGATATTGACGAATATTTAAATTCGTAAAAGGCTGATTTAAAAAGTCCGGATGGGAAAGCTGGAATTTCATGCTTAACTTTGACAACGACGTTCGTAAAATAAGACGTGTTGTGTTTTTAACGTTTTAAAATATAAGAAATATAATATGGCGAAGCATGGTTGTTGATTGCCCTGATAAAATAGACTTTGTGGCGTCGTAATGAGTGTTAGTGTTAATGTTGGAGAAATGATGTTAGTTTATTATAGCCAAATAATTATGTAGATATTTTCTTGTTGTTGATCGGAGAGCGGAGAAGATAGCCGGATTTTAAGAGGAAGTTGCCTGATTTATTTGTTAAGATTTCCCTCATGAAATAATTTTAGTTCTAAAGTATTTATCTTCACATCAAATTTATCTCATTTATGCTGTGATTTTTTTTCTATCCACATATTAAATAGGGGAAAGCAGAAGGATTATGAAAAGATCATTGATTAAAGAATTTTCTGTCTCACCTAAGTTTCGAATGGCAATGGAAAAGTCGCATTTATTTGTTAATTAAGACATGAATTAGGATTAATTGATCTGAATTAAGATTATTGTTAGAAATTCCGTAAGTGACCTGATCCTAAATTCAAACAGTAGTTTTGCGTTTAGCAGCATCGCTCGGAATGAGCAGTCGTATTTCAGCATCGCACAATAGCTAGAATTGCCTGAATTGGATGCAAAATATACGAAAACTATGAGTTTTGAACTGGTCAAAAATGCTGTCCATATTCTATTAGGAACAATCAGATCGTGAGCCTACATGTTTTCATCTGTATACATATTAATGGGTTGTTTTGAGTATTTGTAGTGAAGTTTAATGTGTGGAGAAACAATTACAACATGGATTTTATGAGTATACATACTTTCTACGTGCTACGATGACTATGAATAAATAATTCATTTTTCATATTTTTCATCAACCTATTCCAGGAGTTATCTTTGTTCTGGGAGTGAAGCTAACTGACATAATCAAATTTCGTTTACACTGTTAGAAGAAATCACCGTTAAACGGTATTACCGGCGTTTCAGTAACCTGCCAGCACGTGAAAATAAACACCGTGTTGCCGTTTTTATTACAATTTTACACTAAAAACCCGTTTAACATCTGAAAAACGGCAATAACGGTTTATTTTCACGGTGCGGCTGGTTACTAGAACGCCTGTAAAACTACCGTTTTATCGTTGTTTTTTCGAACAGTGTATAGGTTTTTAATCTCTGTTACGTCTACAATTCATTTTTGGATCTTATAATGAAATATTGATGAATATATTTTGACCAGGTGCGTGTTGTTCGGCTCTGTTTGTCCGGCGTGATGTGAGCTCGTAGTATATTTTCTTGATGGCCTCAGTCTTTTATTGCGTCCTCTATAACGACTTTCCTGGAGCGCACTAACAGCCAATTTTGTCCGAGAGCAAATTTGCTTAAACAAGAATGTTTCTGGTAACAACATTTACGGCGAATAAAATTGAAATGGAATGTGGAAATGAAACTAAACTCTCTTAAAACATTTATGAAGCTTCTCCGACTACATTCTCATTCAAACGATATTGAAGGGTTTTGAGTTTAGGATTCTTTAGTTTTTTCGCTTCCCTTCTTGTATGAAGCAGGTTTTTTTAATTGCAACACTCTTTCATGCAGCTAAAAGCGCTAAAATAATTATATTATTATCGATTCGAGTCGCTCGCATTGCAAATAATTTATATAAAGATTTTATAAGATTGCAAATAATTTACATAAAGAAACAAGTATCGAGGGTTGACATGCCAGCTCGAATAACACAATCTGATGAAAGATTCTATACACATTTCATGATAATTGATGATTTTCTTGGAAATGTGAATTTTGACGAACGACGAACAAACATAAGCTTCTTAAGACACAGTAGAACACTTGCAAAGTTAAGGGGAAATTTTACTTTCCAAGATATTTCGAGCCATTATATTGGTGCGTCATTATTATTGTGTTGCTTTACACAGTAAAGATCTCATCGTGACGTTTTCTGCGACAACAACTTTCCCTAATCTAATCAGAAAATAATTTCGAAGTTATTTCTTCATCAAGACCAAAAGAAATCTTAGAGTTTTCAAAATTTTCCCATAATTTGGAGTTTTCGCTGTTTGAAACGAATTTACAGTCGTGATAATTGTTGGGCCTTCAATTTAGTCGATAGACTTCAATTAGCCTGTAGGATAGATAGACTTAAATTTAGACTATCGTACAGGCAGAGAATATTTATCATAAAGCGACTTCGTACAAACACTCAATAAAAATATCAATGTGAGAAAAAACACCAACTTGTGTTATTCATTAAAACTATCACTTATTCTAACTACCCATACGTAAAGAAATATATGCATGTCAGTTCATTTTATTAGATCAAAATAAATAACTGATTTTGCGACTAAATCTAGATATATGCAATAATTATGACAATTTCGTATTGTTCAGATGAAGTGAATGAAAACCTGCCACTTCGAGAAATTAATTATAGAAATCTTCCATCTGAAATGGTTTTTAATGCTTTATTAAAGAACTAAAGCTTTATTTAACAGGTTTGAAACATTCGCGTAAAAAATTATTCTGGTCGAACGTTCCGAATACAGTTCTTATATCACAATTACTTCGAGCGCTCAATTATATATAAAATTCTTAAGCAGCATTAAAATTAGACATTATTTTTCTATTATGCGTGTGATTCAACCTTTCCAATTCCAAGATTACGTATAACCAAAACAAAAATAACACATATGCCATTTAGCAGTCAAGAAGCATGTAATATCAACAATTACTTCAGTTCCAGAGTCATTTCATTCTGAAATTTATCCATACATTTTAAGACTAGACACACGTATGTATATATTTTTCTTCAATATCTAATTACTAAGGCATTTTAATTCATTACGCTTCAGGAAAATAGACATTCCCCTTGTCAATTAATGAAATTCTGACTCAGAATTGATTGCACGACTCCTAATAATAGGTCAAATCGTTCTTTTATCGTGAAATGACTAAGGCACTTTATTTTGAGGATGGACAGAACTGGGTGGACGGATGTGCCGCGTTTAGATTTCATCGCCGGCAGATTAATATTTGTGTTCCATTACGCATTACGGCGATCAAATATTATCGACAACTCGACCCTAGCTTGTGCAAACGTTCATCGACCCCCACTTTTTAGCAAATATTAGGTGCTGGCTTAGCTTACTCTATTCACAAATTCAGCGCTTATTCCTTCCTTGTTGACACCAGAGCTGCGCTGGCCATGGACTTTGTATGCGCACAGTTAGCAATGGCCAAGGTCTTTGTGCGCGCCTATTTAGCGATGGCTAAGAAGTTTGTTTGCTATTATTTAGCGCTCGTTAAGGCCTTTGCATGCCCCCTATTCAGCGCTCGTCAAGGATTCAGCGCTCGTTATGGCCTTTGAATGCTCCTATTCAGCGTTGGTTAAGAAGTTTCTTTGCGCCTATTCAGCGCTTGTTATGGCCTTTGTAAGCCTAATCCGCCTATTCAGCGCTGGCAAAGGAGTTTGTTTGCGCCTATTCAGCGCTGGCCAAGGCCGACTGCTGCGCCTGCTCCAGGTTAAGCCGCGCTCGGCGCTGGCGTCGCAGGGCGAGCTTCTCCTCGAGGCTGCCGCGGATCTTCTGTTGCTTCTGCTCCTGCTCACGTATGAAGCTCTGCAGCTCCTTCTGGTGCTCCTGCGCGATCTGGTCCAGTTGATCTGACGAAGATATTTAAAAATATAACTCAGTACTCACTGCAGTGAGTGACAGAGAGCGCATTTTCTCGTCGACGAAAACGTGAAGTCACGAATAGACAGACGGACATATTGACAGACAGCGGACATGACGCTGTCTCTTATACACATCTAGATGTGTATAAGAGACAGCTAGTATACAGTGTACCTGTACTGTCTCCCACACAGACACACCCACAGTTCCCACTCCCCCTCCTGGGCCTCAGTTGCCACACAGCACNCGTGCACGCACCGTATCAAACCACTCCCTCAATAGCTGTGCAGGTAATAACGCTCGTGCACGCACCGTATCAAACCACTCCCTCAATAGCTGTGCAGGTAATAACGCTCGTGCACGCACCGTATCAAACCACTCCCTCAATAGCTGTGCAGGTAATAACGCTCGTGCACGCACCGTATCAAACCACTCCCTCAATAGCTGTGCAGGTAATAACGCTCGTGCACGCACCGTATCAAACCACTCCCTCAATAGCTGTGCAGGTAATAACGCTCGTGCACGCACCGTATCAAACCACTCCCTCAATAGCTGTGCAGGTAATAACGCTCGTGCACGCACCGTATCAAACCACTCCCTCAATAGCTGTGCAGGTAATAACGCTCGTGCACGCACCGTATCAAACCACTCCCTCAATAGCTGTGCAGGTAATAACGCTCGTGCACGCACCGTATCAAACCACTCCCTCAATAGCTGTGCAGGCAATAACGCTCGTGCACGCACCGTATCAAACCACTCCCGCAATAGCTGTGCAGGCAATAACGCTCGTGCACGCACCGTATCAAACCACTCCCTCAATAGCTGTGCGGGTAATAACGCGCGTGCACGCACCGTATCAAACCACTGGAGGAGCGCGTTGGCGCGCTTGTAGCTCGTGGAGTAGCACGCCTGCGCGTGTGCGTGACGGTCGGCGCTCTGCATGTCGGTGAACACATACTCCGTCGCCTGCTTCACCCCAACACAAGAGTACAGTTATTAATTACATTAGATAGAATTAACACTATGATATTTTGTAATCAACGACACTGAATCTATTACGTCAGAGAATTAGCATCATACAAGTGTTATGTTATGACTAATTGAATCTAATTCTATAGTGACTGGCAAGAATCAGATACTGTACCACCGCTCATGTTCAACTATACCTGTTTTGCGAAGTTTAAAAATTAGCGAAGAAAGTCTGAGCGGCAGAACATTCACGAAAGAAACAAATTTCGTAATGACGGATTTTTATATTTTCAATGCGATAGAAGGGGGGTACCTTATTCGATTGAATAATTTAAATGATTCAGCAGTAATTATCTCCAATTAATATACTCTTGAAATTAGCTAAAACCCGTGCGCGAAGGATTAAAATTTAAAATTTGGATCTGAATTGCATAATTTTTGCAACAAAAAATTACTGCATAATGTCTTCACAAACAACAAATGTTTGTGAAAATAAGTGGTAAAACAGAGAATTTCTAGTATTTCGCCTGGTGCATTAAATTTGGTCTCAAAACGAACTTTTGTTTTGAGACCAAATTTTAAAATCTGCAAAGCTTTTATACTCATAGGGAAAGGTTAACAACACGCATTAACATGCCACAAATCTAGCGGTTACTTTTAAATACTACTTTACGTTAAAATAAACATGCATATAAACTCGTAGTGTGAAAAATTGTGAGTGCATCTCAAAAGTTGTTTAAAAAATAAGTTAAGTTATTTATTGGTACGTGCCAGGCAAATTCGTTACGGACAATAAGAAAATAGACGCCTCATCTGAAAAATGGAACTATAATAGGACTATTGAATCTATTCTTGATAATGATAATTGCATATAATTTTCCTTCAGTTTCAAGGCTTGAAAGCAGCAGAACCCCATTGAGGCTAAGCTAAGCTATTAATATTACTAGCGCAATGCAGCATTTCAAGTTCAATAGCTCTTTTCCTAAGTTCGTAGATGAAGTAAAAGTTTCTCTCAAGCATTTAAAAACGTTTGCGAAACATGTACGGAACACATTTGTGAATGAAACTTGTGCATTTAAAACATAGCAACCTATGCAAGATCGGCATGACGTGAGACGACGGCAATGTAAGATTAACAGACTACGTACAATTCAGAATGCACCAGTCACTCAAAATAATATCTGGGCCATATTGTATAGAAGCGACAAAATTTACCCACAGACATAGCAGAGAACGGACGTAGCACTGATATGCCCATTACGAAGCCAAACTGAGTCAGGATGACCCACACAGGGCAACAAGTGCATCAATATCCTTGGACAACAATATTACGCTATTTGGACATTACTCTGAGTGCGTGCAGGTGTGTCAGGAAGAGCACTAGGCAGACGCACACGAGTACTGATAAGAGATAGGACGAGCTTTACCTTGATGAGATCGCGAGAGGGTAAAGACGGACGGGGCGGAGAGCAACGAAGGAGGCACAAGTTTGGTGAGACAACAATTCCGTCTAACTACCACGCTACGAGGCTCATGAAAAAGGATGAATCTTAATCACATGAATACTGAGAGACAAATGCTAGCTGATTACGGAGGATCGATTCATTGCGGCTTCTGGTGATTTTAATCTTTATTCAGTATTTATGATCCTTGGAATCAATTTTAAAAACAAAACCTATTATTTATTTTCTAGAATTACCGTGCGAATTATTCCGGAACAAAACACCGCAAACCTATTAGGACCATTGATTGATTTGTTCAACAGATATAACTGCGTATATCAAAATTTCTTTAAACCAATGTAGAGTAACGTCTCCATGCAACGACGAAAGCCAGTTAATTTTTTTCTAAGATTTTAAGTACTTCAATTATTTTCGAAAACTCGACCAATTAATTTTCTCCGAATTCATCCCTTTTCATTTGCGTCAAATTTTGACTTCAAAGCGAGCCATTTCATAGGTGTTCGAATTCCAAAAAATCGTGATTCAAACCCAGCGTTTGATGCACTGTTTTAAAAAGGATTTTTATTCTAGAGTGCGTCAAAAAATAAATACTGTTAAATCTAGAACACATTTCAATGGCATGCCTTTGTGTCAGAAAAATTTTCAAGTTAATTATTTTACATCATGAAAAATATTGTAAGGGCTTTCACAAACGAATTCTCTTCGCCCATATAATTTATAGTGCCTTCAGTCAAGTCCCAAAATATTTTCTATGATGCAGGATGCGAAAAAAATAAATCGTAAAAAATAAATAACAATTTTGTACATCCCGTAACAATATTCCAGAACTCAGAGTGGGGTTCTACCTACAGTATCTAGCATGCATGCTTGTGACATGCAATGAGATATAAAGGCTGAATTTGAACCACTATACGTAGTTCTACGCTTCGGTAAGTCATGTCTCCATTGAAGGCGTAGATTATCAAATGTTTATCACTTGAGTGATTATCCTATAACGTATTCTTTGATTCAAATCGGTAGTTAAGAATGTAATTGATCGCAAGTTTACGATCAATGAATACGAAATGAAGCGAAAACCTTTTCCTATTTTGTGAAGCTACAAAGTTTCAATATTTTCAGAAAATATTTCTTTATAAAATTTTAGCGTGATAGGATTTCCGTATACTATCAGTAAAATAATTAAAGTATTCATGTTTAGACTGTAAGCCCACATCAAAAAATTTGTGTAAAATCTAAAAACAATTGAAACATGTTTCCTATTAAAGTCATTATAATGTATTTGAGAGTGACCTCTCTCGCAATAATGACATAAATTGAGTGGTAAGTAAATAGGCAATGAATTTTGACACTAATATATCGAAACATACACAAATGGATGAACAAAAAAAACTACAATTTTTTTCAATATTATTTTGGACTACTTGGAAAGTTCATGTTATGAAATATACGAAAATATCAGAATTTGTGGCAACAAAATTGCTTTAGATTCAAAATGTTCCAGCGAATGGTGGCCACTAATCAAATAAATTAGTTGAGTCGATCAGAACTCGAATATTGAGAAGCACAAGATAACTTTATGAAAATATCGGCAAAAAATTATTATTTCAATTTTAATACACAAATATTATATGTTATAATCTAACAAAAATGTTTCTACTTCGTCGCTGTATGGAAATACGATTTAATTAAATTAAGCAATATAATGTCTGTTATACGTTCGCACTCAAATCGACATTATACTGAAAAAATATAACTCAGTACTCACTGCAGTGAGTGACAGAGAGTGCATTTTCTCGTCGACGAAAACGCGAAGTCGCGGACGGACAGACAGACGGGCAGACGGACGGACAGACGGACATGGCGAGCACAATAGTGCATTTTTTCCATAAATGAGAAAATACGCTAAAAATATGCTAAATTAAAAGTTATTTCAACGCTCAACTTCTAAGCTAGTTCTTTTATTCGCAATTTGAAGCGAATGGAGGCCCAAGAATGAAACTTACTTTGTTGAGCGTGGAGACCTCGTCGGGAGCGCAGTACGGGAACTGTACAGCATCAAGGTATCGCTGAGCGCCGGTCAGGTTCTGGCCCGCAGCCACGAGGTTGTTGCGTGTCTCCGCCGCCACGCTGTACCGGATCTCCAGGTCACTGCACGCACCGGACTTGTTATGTATTTTTATTTGTTATATATAGACCTTGTGCTATATAATATCAGGTATTATTATGTTGAATATCACAGATCTGCCAATAATGATCTATGAGACCGGCCAACATCACTGGTGAGGGAATTTATCTATTATGGATTGTAAAGGTCAAGAATTGGATTGCTCCTTATTCCATTCTACAACATCTTGGATTGTACCGATCAGGAATCGTTCAAATATGTAAGTAATTATCGTTGTTGTAGCCATAATAAAAATTCTCAGACACCTGTAAGGCACAATGTTGCACTAATTATTTCACACACATTTCAAATAAATACTCAAATCACTAATTTGACAGCACTGGAAAAAATTTCACCGTGGGTACAATATACATATATTCATGTATACATGGTATAAAATGCTTCAAGAAAGAGCATGTCACTAACATGGTTGGCAAGGTCGGCAGGTCTTGCCACTTCTGCACAGCGACAGCGAGCTGCTTGCACGCGTACTCGAGCATCATCTGCGCCTGCCGCCACTTGAAGTTCGCCTCCAGGATGCGAGCGCGGTGAGCTTCCAGCGTGTCTAGCTCCTGCTCCAGTCTGTTCTCCAAGTTCGAGCCGTACTCCCCACCAAACATTTTATCTGAGGCAGTTAAGATTGTGAATTAAAAATAACAAATTAAAAAAATAGCTTCCAGCGTGTCCAGCTCCTGCTCCAGTCTGTTCTCCAAGTTTGAGCCGTACTCCCCACCAAACATTTTATCTGAGGCAGTTAAGATTATGAATTAAAATTGAAAAATTGACAACGAATCCGGATTCCTTTTCAGAAGAAAAGCGGCTAACCATTGAGCTGATTCTGCATTTCAGTTTATCTTTATTAAAATTTTGTTACAGCTGCTCACTCACCTAGCAGTTGGTCTTGCTGTTTATAAAGCTCCTGCAGTTTTTCAGCTTTGCGTTCCAGCTCGATGACTTCATCATGCAACTGTTGTGTTCTCCAAGTTCGAGCCGTACTCCCCACCAAACATTTTATCTGAGGCAATTAGTAATGTGAATTAAAATAAACAAATTAAAAAAATTGCTTCCAGCGTGTCCAGCTCCTGCTCCAGTCTGTTCCCCAAGTTCGAGCCGTACTCCCCACCAAACATTTTATCTGGGGCAATTAATATTGTGAATTCAAAGTAGAAGAATTAAAGTGATTTTCAGATTGAATAAATTTGGAAAATATTAGAATGATTTTTGCAATGGTACGACTAGACTGAGTCTCTCTCTTCCTCAAACTCGGCGCAAATCGAATTTTACGTTGGACAAAACTCCGAAACTTTCTTTGTGGAAAAATGTTATAGTGAAAAAAAGACTTCGAAATATTACTTTCCAGAAGAAAAGAGGCTAACAATTGAGCTGATTCTGCATTTCAGTTTACATTAATATATTTATACAGCTGCTCACTCACCTAGCAGTTGGTCTTGTTGCTTATAAAGCTCCTGCAGTTTTTCAGCTTTGCGTTCCAGCTCGATGACTTCATCATGCAACTGTTGTTTCTGCTTCCTGCAAGCATTTAGTTCTTGCTCCGTCATTTCCTGCAGAAAATATATTATTAACATAAAAAATGCAATAGAATATGAAAATCTTGATTGTCTTTTTCATCACTTTCGTTGAAAGATTTTCAAGTAGCAATTCGGGCAAGGTATGAACTTCTCTCCAGAACGAACTTGTTTTTACTTTCTGTGAACGAGCGTAGAAGTTTGACTTTTTCTAATTCTAGTCTACGAAGATAAATAGAAAAGTGAACCCCAGAAAAACTACATAAGAAACCAAAAATGGTGGTATCGCTACTGTATAAGTTTAGTCTTCTTCTAACCGATTGTAATTTAGAAGCTCAATTATAAGTTTTGTTCGGGAGAGCCGTGCAGTAGATTAATTGCAAGGAAGACATTTCTGATTTTGGTTTTGAGCCACTTTCGGCGTAATCTCTTTGAGACATACTCCCTACTTATTCAGTGATTTGCGATCCACTATGCAAGTATGTGTTATTGTTTAATTATTAGTTCTTTTTATATATACATTAATCATGAGAATGTAATTTGAATGGTGTTGCTATAGTTAACATGAAAATGATTCTGTATATTCTTTCTTTTGAATCGTAAATCGTTTCATATTCTTCTTTGTCGGTTAATTATTACCAGTTCTAAATTTTTGTTTGCTTCTAAATTTCAGAAAGGCTCCAAAATTAGTCAAAAGTCAATACATTAGCTGCGAGAAAACACTGTTTATATTCTTCTACTCATTTTTATATTATAATACTTTTGACTTATAATTTGTATACAGCCTCTAGTTAGGATTTGGTTAAGTGGCTGGGGTCATTAGAAGCTTATTTTAATTATTTATTTGATAATTCCGAACAGCTTGATACAATGATTAAAATTAATTCAGTCACAGTAATATAACAATATCCATGAGATAGTTAATTAAGCGAATACTAGTTCATCGGAGAAAATTTATTGGAGCTAACAATGAGGCTTGCAGAATTTTCTCGGCTATGGATTAAGTGGTTCTTATACTTTATAGAGCTTCCATTTCGAAGTAGCCAAATGAACTTTAATTGCATAAATCTTAAGACAAAGAGCCATTAAAAAGTTTCGACTCAAGTTACTTGAAAAGTGACCATGACGGAGAGAACTCATGCGAGAGAAAACGAAGGAATCAATGGATGGGAATGTAGAAAAATCAAGAAAAATTAGCGTCAAAAGCAGTGATGAACTAACACTGAATTTTACTAAGTTGATTAAATGCTGTCGCAAATGAATATTTGTGTGGCTATGGGAAAGCATTACTTAGATGCATGAATTTAGTTCGATGTTGAAAAGGTTTAATAATTTGACCTTGTTTGCAGTGAATAAATAATTGTGGCGGAATTCGTTTGCGCTCAATTTTGCGATACTCGGTCGGTATTTATTTAAAGTAAAATACGACCGGATGATTAATAAAATAAAGATTAAACAATTTTTTGATGGATATGAAAAAAGTATTAAGAACTGCCAGGCAATTCTGGCAGTGCAAGTAATAGACTCTGGAGTATTTTAGAGATTTTGGAGGCCCAATAGCATATTGGCGTTCCTGTTATCAGTAAAAAAATTCAAATCATGCAACATTAGCAAATAATGAACTGTTTACACGCTGATGCAAAGAGGAATCTCCGTTAGCACACTTAACTGATTTTGAAGGAAATTAAGCGGTTTTCATTATTTGTAATTCAATAGTACACAATCAAATTAAATAACACGTTTTTGATCAAACCACCATTTTTCAAAGCTTTATGATTCAGTTTAATTATTGATAGAAACAAAACTTTAATTTTTTTTATCGACAGGATGGTTATTGTGGACACGTGCATCTATTAAACAGTGAATATCTATTAAATCTATTAAACAGTTAATCTATTATCTATTAATATCTATTAAGATTATTATCTATTAATATCTATCTATCTATCTGTTAATATCTATTAGGTCTATTAAACAGTTAATATTTTTACGGTGCCACGCTGCAAACAAACAATCACATCAACTGTACCGACATCATACAGATAAAACCACATTAAAACAACACAATTGAACAAAGATAAACATACTTGTGTTAGTATTTTTACAGTGCCACGCTTCAAACAATCACATCAACTGTACCGACTTCACACAGATAAAACCATGTTAAAACAACACATTTGAACACACATAAACATACATACCTGTGTCAATATTTTTACAGTGCCACGCTTCAAAAAATCACATCAACTGTACCGACATCATACAGATAAAATCACATCAAAACAACACATATGAACAAAGATAAACATACATACCTGTGTTAATATTTTTACAGTGCCACGCTTCAAACAATCACATCAACTGTACCGACATCATACAGATAAAACCACATCAAAATAGCACATTTGAACACACATTAACATACCTGCTTGTTGAGGGCGGCCAAATACTCGCCCTGTTCCTCGGTGAGCTGCAAGTCGATGCTGGGCCGCATCTCCAAGAGAGTGCTCTTTACGTCCTTACCACCATTCTGCAGCTCCTCTACTTCTGATCGCTCCTTCGTCCTTGAGGTCAAAACGCACGAAAAGTTCGAGCCATAAACTCCATGTGTCTAATACAGTTGCTTTCATTTATAACGTGCTGCAAGTGTTAGCAATAGATGCTCATTGAAACAAGTGAATCAGAACTTCCATAGGCAACGAACACCCGGCTATAAGAATTCGCTTCTCACGAGGCGGAAAGGAGATAGCTTCCTGTCTCTAAGGTCCTTATGCGCTGTCGACTACACTAAAACTATCCGGCCCGGATGCTGTTAGCTGAATATAGGTTACAGAAGTTGAAGATTTTATTTATAATAGTTACCTTGATTATGTGGTTCAGTTTGCTTGTAGCTTAATGTTTATAAAATAATTAAATTTAGTAGTTCGCACTGGACACTATAAACTATACTGGAATACCGATAAGTGAATAAAAAACTACAAATTAGGATTAATTAAAGATTTTAGAAGTTAATAGTATTAGATCTAATAAGTCAGTAAACACGAAGAGTCAAGTCTAGAAAATAAACGGATTGATAACGAGATATCACTACAAACATGCTGAAAACATACGCTAACCACCGAAAAAGATGGTTTTAGTTCCATGCACCTCAATAATCACGTTATATTAGTTAACATAGGTCCATGCCTTTTAAAAAATAAGCAAAAAGTACTTCATGCTCGATCGGGCATACGTAGGTTCCTATACCTTTCTATTCACAGCGTCCAGATACGCCTCCTGGGATCGATTTAAAGGTTGTTCTGGTATGCCATTGTCTAGGAAGAACTTTTTGGTATGTGCTTTGTCACTTTCTTCTTGTCCAAGTGACGAGCTACCTCAAGGCAAGGGATTCAACGTAAAAAAGTTCATGCGAAATCAAATTATATTTCGAATTTTAGAAAGCAAATGGGAGGTTAAAGGTATATGAATATAACGTATTTGCATTTTTAATTAGATTATTGACAGACAATATCATCGGTTAAGAATTTTTCGAAATTTCCCCGTTCTTCCGTGGGAACAAATATATGATTCATGTAGATGTTATTGCTTTACAGCTGTATTAATACTCACGTTTTTGCTTCGAGTTCTTTGAGTAACTTTTCTTTATTTTCAATTTCTTCATTGAGCTGCTGCAGTTGCAGGGATTTTAGCTCCAGGGGCTGTAAGGGATTGGTCGTTTCCTCGAAAGCGATTTCTTTTTCCAGCCGCAAGTAGGACTCCAAAGTGTGACGATCGATGGCGATCTGCGTTAACACGCATTACTTTTGTATTAAAAAAGACGTTTTACTTGGGAGAAATTCATCGGATAGTTTCTCACATAAATTATAAATAGCTTCTCACCTAAACAAATTATCACACAAATTCCAAATACAATAAAAAAGTCACTTATTTCTGAATTTTAAATTTCAACATAGCAAAGATATCACTGTAATAAATAACATCTATTCGTTACGGACAAAATATATATCGACACCCAGACATCACATCACACCTCTTTGGATACGTTGTTGTTGTTCGAGGACGACACTCTGGTGCCCTGCAAGCTGGAGTTGACGACGCCCATCGTAGCCTTGCCGCGGCGAATGCGTTCAAGCTCAGCTTGCACTCGCCTCCGCTCCTCCTCGAGCTCTCGTGCTTTTGTTTCTAAAAATTCGGTGTCTGTTGAGGATATCCGAGGAAAGTTTTGGTCTTCAGCCTGTGGCGTAATTTTCCGTTTTCTGGACTTTGAAGGCAACTCTAGAAAATCTCCGAAGGCTGACGAAGATGACGGTGATTTCGAAGACGATGTAGAGCTTCTCCTATCGGAAGACGAGTGGACGGCGGAAGGTTTGCTCTGAAATAGATTAGAGTGGAAATGTACATATGCATTATCATAATTTTTTTGTAACGGATAAGAAAAAATGATGCGGCTTACTATAATTATTACTCCTACACCAACGCTTAACACTGTTAGTTACTAAACTAATTGACTGCCTCTGACACAGCGTGTGGATAATTAATGCAAAATTTAAGTGAGGTATCATCAATTCCAAGATAAAACTTTTTATATACCTCAAAGAGAATGCTTCAATGTCAACAATTGTCACCGTTAGTTATGAAGATAAAATTTACCATAAAAAATATTTTATCAAGAATGGAGCCGCTAGATGAAAAAATATTCCTATGAACATATTTTTGAAAGCCGCTCGATCCCGCGATATTCAGTGAAGCTCCGGGGCAGATGTTTTCCAGCAGCGACGGCCGCTTGTTTTCTGGCTGACGTCACATCGTAAACAAAGCCCCGACACAGGCAGCAAAATGACAGTTTTTATGACTCAGCGCACGCCAACTGATGCGACGTTCATGCAAATTAAACGAGAAACCTCGTTTTATTCTCATGCGAATTTTTCGATCATGGCTCTTGTGCATAAAAGAATAAAAATTCATGCAAACGAGAAAAAATTATACGTGTAAATTGTGATAATTATCAGATAACAAGTGAGGTGTCAAATTAAATCTCGTGCCAAGGAATTCTATGCTATTGATGTTATTTTGAACACTGAGAATGAGATTTCCACTTCGTCCAAAACGAACATTAATAAATGCTTCTTAAGGACGGTAACTTGAAGATCGCAGACAAATAAGGACAAAATGGATGTCGGAATTTGTACACTGTATCAGTAAACTTCAATTAAAAATTCCAGATAAATTATATGTTCAAATGAGGTTAATTGAATAACACCCTAATTATTTTAACGAACTCGGGCAATACAGTGAGAATTTATGAGGCGCACTGGAGATATATGCAGGCGCAGCTACACTAGTCTTCGTTTCTGACTTGGGTTAGAGATCTTTTAAGATAAGGATTTGAAGTCTTCGATCTTCCGACATCTATCAAGGCAGAGTCTTAGCGGATCTTAAAATTCACAGAAGGTACGTTTATCTGTTGTCACAGTAGCATTAGTAATTTGTCACAAAATGTATCAATTTTAACCGTTCCATACAGCATCCCAATAAGTTGTTACATCTGATAGATTTACCCGGAGGTTCTCTTGTACTCAGAACAGTAACAAAGTTTACGGCCGACATTTTTAGAGGCCTGAATAACAGTGATTAATACTATCACAGTAAAAAAAAGCGTACAAGTCAACGCCAGCAGTCAGGATGAATGTAAAGAAACAAAGAGTGAATGAAAACTATTAATGAATATCCGTAGAGGCGCCAAATTTACGAGCATCTTAATGAACCTATGAAATCCGAGTGAATACCATCCCGGATCCATCGGGATCCGATATTCTTTAAAAATGAATGCGAGCTGTTGACGAAATTATCAAAAACATACGCAACGCTAAACTTGCCGTATTTGTTCTTGGGTTTACAGAAAACAAGTGTCGGCACCGATCACCATCACAGGTCGATGTTATCAAAGCAATCTCGAACACGTGTCGATATTGAGCATGAAGACCAAGTTGGCCTTGCAACGGTGGATATCAAGATTCAATAAAAAACGTTTATCCGATATTCGATCGAGTACGGTGTTTAATTTTGTTACAATCATTTTGATCAGAAATATTTGGCAAACAAAAATTCTACAACATTGTAAGAAATACCACATTAGGTCGTCATCTGAGTCATCAAGAACTGTTGCATTATGTAGTTTGTGCTAAAATTCGTAGATGAAGAAATAATTAAAGTAAACGGATTTATTGCATTTCTGTAGATATACATTGTTGGTCGATGGTTTCATTTACCAGTCTTTTTTCAAATCTTATAGCTATCTTCAAGGCGGAAGGTTGTAATTAGATTGAAAATTAAATGGGTAAAAATTCAGTGAGTGAACCATGTAGTAGCAAGTATATGTAGTATCACGACTGTGGTCCCTATTGTATGATGCATATATAAGGGACCAACCTACGTCACACCGATAACTCCGCGAAGCATAGACCAGAATGATTCCAGAGTTACAATTTTTCTCCTTTTACCCAGAAATATTATTTAAGTTTAACGGGGTTATGAATTTTGCCAGTAAATGATGATTGTAAATTAAATTAAATTTATTGCCCGGCCTGCGAATGAAACAGTAAATCCTGACGAATAAGTAAAAAATGAAATATAAATTGCGAGCTAGTGCATGCAAAAATTCAAACTGAGCCTGAGCTTTGAAAATAACAAAGCGCAAGAATTGAATGCCTCAGGATCCTGATTACTTTTTCTTGTCCGAAAATAAGAGTAACGCTCGCAAAAGTTTCCGAATGAAGTTTTTTCTCTTCCAATTGAAGTTTTCTATGTTGCATTGAAGAAGCGTATTACGCAGTAAGTTAGATCGAATGTTCAGTTCTGCGCTATTTAGAAGTATTTGAGATATCGTTGAAAGCTAGATTCGCTTAACATGAATGCGTTTAGAAGATTGAATTGCGAATTGTTCCTGCATAAAGCTTTTTCCTGTTAATGTGCAATTTTAAGATGATTCAACACAATGGATTTTACTCGCCTTCAGCAGATAATTAAATTTGCGTGTTACCGCTTATGGTTATAAAATGATGATTTTACTGTAATAGTTACTTTAAATGTAGAAAATTACACACTATATCTCTTTAATTCGATTAATAAAAACATTAAAGTTTCATCGATAGAGCTGCCAGATATTTCTGGAAAATATTTCTGGACGAGCTATACATACGGACGATGAAAATCAAAATATTATCAAGATATTATGAGTGCAAAATGAAAGCTCAATATTCCTATAAGGAAGACTGCTGATGGGCACTCGTGCCGAGTGCCCGTTTTGCACTCATAATATTTTGATAATATTTTTATTTTCAGCGTCCGTATGTATGGATCGTCGAGAAATATTTTCCAGAAATATCTGGCCGCTCTATCGATGAAACTTTAATGTTTTTATTAATCGAATTAAAGAGATGCTGGGCGCCCGCTTGACTGCACGGAGCACGCGCGGACATCACATGCATGGCGAACACTTTTCAATACTACGATGCCCTTCTCATGGCTTCGAAAGGAAATCGATGGACGTTGTAGCTGAGGCTTATTTATTTACAGCGAAAAATGGACAGTAAATTTAAAATCAAGATAATAGTATTAGATTTTATTCAAAGTCAAATTACTCTCTTCTAACTTTGAGATTAGTTGGACGTGTAAAGAGTACAGTTGTTCCGTTTATGATTAAACGAGCAAATGTCTATGGGATAATCGTTAGAACCGGTAAAATGTAAACTTTCGAATGACATTTATTGTCGAGAAAACTACTTCTCATGTGAGTCAAACGTGTGCACTGTGCAGTTATGTTGAAAACACACGTGCACGAAAAATACATATGATAGAATATATGGGGTCCTGCGATGAGCAATTTACGAATAATAATGATAGAATTCAAATCAATTTCAAGTTTAGCATAATGATTTCAAGTTTGCACTTTCGAATTCAAACTTGTATTCCGATTTCTCGACACTTGAGGATTATTTTCAAAGTGCAACGAATTACTGTCGAGGTGAATGGCCCCTGGACTGTGAAAGCCTTGCAGTGATGTTGAAATAAAACGCTACACGATAAAATCCTTAAAGTGTTTCCATTACGATGAAATTTTGAATCTAATGCACACAGTTTTCGTTTGTTTTTGATCGTGTTTTTAATTTTTGGAAAACTGTTTATTCAAACCAACTTCCACTCTGTGATTTGAGATTGTTTTATCGCCCCTGTCTAGTGCTGACCAAAAATATTGCGCAAATATAAATTTATTCCGTGTGACTACTGCCACAGAACTTAATTTATACAAAACAGCTATTTTTCTATTTTTTATGTTAATCCATACGGAACTCTGTAAGATCATCTTAATTTTGTTATTTCAGGATATTTTTTCTTTAAGCAGATTTTGGTTATGAACTTAATTTTTTTGCTTAATATATTAGTCAGCATTAATCAGGTGCGGTCAGCTTCTCGTTGTGACGCGAGACATGGCGTGCAGTGATTTACCTCGGCCGTGTAATCCTGCTCAGGCAGGCTTGAGGTGCAGCCCATTACCCTTAACCACAGGTTAAAGCTTTTACCATTACAATTTATTTACAGTTTCTAAAAATCTAGTATGTTTCTAAAAGTTCGATTGCATTATGACGTGATTTTAAGGTTTATTGAATCAAAATTGATTATAACATATATGTAGGTAGTTGATAACTGGAAAATGTTAAATCTCAAAACACTTGGATTCGGCAGTGAAACGAATCATTTTCCATGTTAATTAATGAAAATAATCCCAGACTGCAAACTGGAACCTGGATGACTGCAATAATTAATTTGATCGCAATTAAATTCCACTCAATCTGAGCTCCTTTGAGCCATCGTTGAGTTGATGAAAAATAGCCGATAGCTTTATATATGCTGCAGATTTTACAAGGTGATTGATCTCAGTGCCAGACCACTGAAGTTCAAAAATTAAAATCATGAAATTGGTATTCAATTATTCCACAGATATCCAAAGTGAACTGATAATGTTTTAAGGTTATTAAATATTTTTAAAATTATGTACTGATTACCTACTGATAATTGTGTACTGATTTTGACAATTTTGTGTACTGATACACAAAATTTTTTTGCCTTTTCAAAAATCAGTACACAATTTTTGTGTACTGATTTTGACACTAATTAAGCCTTGTATTTGTTAGTTAGCGTTGTGATTACAGATGATTACTGATTTTTGCGACCTAAAGCACATTCTACAAGTGTGCACCAAATTATGCGTGATGAAGTGACGTTAAATAACATCGTTTGTACATCTTCTATTAAATTCTTCTAGGATTAGAAGCGTGGAATTTCAGACCACATGTGAGGGTGGCAGTCATTCCATCTAACACATTATTTTACCTCCGAACGACATTAATACGCGAACAATTCCCATGGCCAATCATTTCCGTATCAGAATAATAACGGAAATTGTCTTCAAACGCTCAGCGGCTGGTAATTCTTATGCAAACGATCACTAATTTCTTATGATATTACGTTATATGCTCTAGAGCGGGAAAGGCAACAGTGAGTCTCTAAAGAGCTCTGGTGCGAGGAAATTACCGGTGCATACTTTGCAGCGTGTTGAGAGCAGGAGGTGGAAGCTTAACGGAGGAAATATACGTATTCGGTGCATTTGGTGGAAATGGCTCTGAAACAATGAGCATCACTGACGCAATTATAATGTACAAGAACGGTAATTGTATTTTAGAGTTAACGATAAGTTTTGTTCACTTATGAGCATTCGTAGCCTTGTTCAAGCATTAAAAGCCGTTAGCTTTGTACAGAAGTAAGCGTACTGCAAAGCATGATTCATTGCAGAAAAAAAAAGCATGGTCGTTATTAAACATATTCGTTATTCTTCATGCAAAATGTACATATATACACAGTAACAGACAATTTTTTGACAATATATTATTGACAATATATTATTGACAATATATAGTCAGTCAACAATATTGACTGACTGTTTGACTGACTTGAATTTTTTTCGAGGTCCTACCGAGGTAAGAAATTACAATCACGAGACACGCTGCTTCCTAGGAAATTAAGGTAACAGTGTTGGCAGATTCCTTGCCGGTGCTATCTTACGACGCTCAACCATTTTCTCTGGTCGTTGGCTGGTAACTGTTTTGCGTTGGTGCGTTGTTTAGGGCTTGTCGATGGAAAATTTATTCTTTTGGCAAGGATGTTTCTTTATTTTGTTTGCAAGCTCAAAGAACACAGATCGATGGATAGTTAATCTTGACAGTTCAAAATGTTACATATCTTTAGAGATATTTTTCCGCAGCACAAAACACACAGATACTTCGAAGTCTGTACTCAGCGCACGATGAAAATTAAACAATCATACAAAAAATTTCTGGCACATGCTATAAATAAATTTTATACCCCGAATTCAACGTCATAAAGAAAAATGCAAGCACAATCCAGACGGAAATGTACTAGATTTGAAACATTGATTGTAGCACTCATGACACTTTTCATCAAACTGTTCATAATGGCACATATGAACCTACAACTCGAACTCAAATAACTTGGATAATACTACAAGAAGCAAAGATCTACACAGAATGACGATGTCGGCTCACCAGGCTCTGTCGCCACACTGCGTACGCACTTCTATACAGCCCTTCACTCAACAAGCGCTCACTTACCGGAACGCATTACTGGGAACAGGGCATATTTTTGCGTAGCAACAGTTCAACTAAAATGTTTCATTTCATGGGTTCGGGTCTTGATTTTCTCCTTCTCAAGATGAAAAATATTTAGTGAATGAGACACATATTGTTTGTGAATTTTATTCTGAAATAGTTATGAGAATTGATCGCTGTAAGAAAGTCGCAGGTGTAGTGGCGGTGGCGATCGATGTGTGTACCGCGTTGCCATGACGGGTGCAAATATGCATGATCGTCGACTATAGTTTCAGAACCACCAATGTCATCTGCCTCGCTAGGGTTCTTCTTTGTCATTGAAAACTTTATGAGATGAGGAACAATATAATTTGATTATACTCTAATCGTTATATATTATCACATGATATTAGGATCATAATTTGCATAACACATTCAAACAATTCAAAAGTGTTGACAAAGATGCATAACAGTCATTTTTTCAAGACTTCGAAATATTCCGCTTTGTAATAGGAAAGTCAGCGAGCATGAAAGCTTGAAAATTAAGTGCATATAAAGTAGAGATGAATTCGATTTACTGTGTGAAGAATTGCGATGAGGTCTAACTTTAATCAATATATAAACCTAGATTAAGTTGCAAGTAGACTGTGAATATTGATCTAATAAGTATATAGAAATATTGCCTTTTAGAACATTTTCTCATTTATTAAAAAAATGCACTATTGTGCTTGTCATGTCCGTCAGTCTGTCCGTCCGTCCGTCTGTCTGTCCGTCCATCCGCGACTTCACGTTTTCGTCGACGATAAATTGCGCTCTCAGTCACTCACTGCAGTGATCGAGTACTGACTTATATATTTTTATTCTATGTACAACTGTACGATCGACATGGAAATGTGAACAAATGCGTGGCGCATTTAACAGTACATGTTATCTCTCCAGAGTTTTCCGGTGCTCCATTGCAGAGAGCTTGGTTAATTATTAGTAAGGGTCAACAATGTGTATTATCTTGATGCACAGTGTTTAGGAAAATTATTATAGTTGCACGACTCTACTGTCATTCTAACTCGCTTATTCCTTCAACTAATTTTTCGTTCCACAAAACAATTAACAATTTTTCAATTGAATAGTTTGAGAACTAGTTTGAGATAGGAAATGACAAGCTGCTCTAAAATGTTATTTTTTAAAATTGGTTGTGATATGAAATGCGTTACTGGATATTTTTGAGTACAAGCATCAAATGATTATTCACTATTACAAATATTTTTAACGGGACATTATTCTAGAGTCAAATCAATAGCCTAAAAATTAGTTTGTAAAACTCTTGAGCTAGAATCGAGATTCCCCAGGCATCAGAGCAGCTAAATAGGAATTTATTTGCAATTTAGAAGCATTGTATAGAAATGCATTCAGAGAATTAAAAAGTTTCTGAGATTTATTTACATTTTTGCTTGATGTTTCAAATTCGCGGTTTTATTATTGCAGGGTTTCATTGTAATATATATTATTATTCATATTATTTATTATTTATATTTATGTATTATTACTGTCGCGGGGTTTTATTATTACTGTTTTGAGTTGTTCAATATCATACAAGTTTGTCGTTCATCATCGGATCAACTTCTACATCAACGACACATTTATTATTCAACCCATAAACACGTACGTTCCGGCTTACCAAGACTTGTGTTTTCCTTTCAAGTTTCTATCCCCAGTCCATCAGGGGAATGTAGCAATTATCGAGAGTGCTCCTTGAGGAGAGTGGTAGAAAATTTACGGCCCGTAGACCTGTCTCTATGGCGTCAGTCTTTTCAGGCAGATGTTACGCCAACCGCATAACATCTTCGCAGCTAGCTTTTTGTTGCTAGTTTGTTCTTACGGACTGTTAATTCAGCGAGTGTATTTGTGTGAATGCGGTCTAGTGCGGGATTCGCTGGATGCGTGGGCATAAAAGAGCATTTTTTTGTCGGTATTACTTGCTGTAAACGAACCGTAAAAATTTCATCACATATATTCAACAAGGCATAAAATATTTCAGCAAAAGTCATTTTGAAGTAATCAATTAGACATTCATAATTGATTATCGATGAATTGATAATCAGACAGCAAAGTAGCTAAAGTTTATTCCAGCTAGTAAGCTTTCACCCAACAGTTAGTATATGTACATACGATCAGAATGAACACGATTCTCGGTGATTCCTGACCAAGTAAGGTTAATACCACCAAAAATGTGGCGTTCAGAACAGCTCCATTTATTTTGTTTCTATTTCAGCTTGACGGATTATTGCGCTGGAGTTTCGCTGTGATTAAATCGCCAGTATATCACACGAATATCAATAGCTAAGATACGTCGAGCCTCAAAACACATCATTAAAAGTTTCTTGTAAAACATCGCTTGCATTGGTATCGGCTACGAATCTCTGGCACGTTAATACCCCAACTGAAATACATAATAGATGAATCTCCTCCGAGTCATTTGAGAACTTTAATTGCATGAATAAACTAAGACGTTCGAAGCCCGAAAATTAAATTCCGTGTTTTTTCCTATTTTACTAATTTGTGTTCTGTTAAAATGAGACAAATAAAGATTGATGGACGAATGTAATTTTTCGGGAATTTTGTATTGAACTTTTCTTGAATCTTCTCAAATTTTGGTCGACCATTCACCGATTGTTAGAATAATTCATTCGGATACACAGTTAGCGCATTGGACTTAATAATGCAAGGGGCTGCATGCATGGCAAGAGGAGTCATCTGGCACTGAATTTAAAAACAGCAGCTGATTGGTTGCTTGGAAGAGCGACAGATCAATTCCGTCTGAATGAAGCGGTTGTGCGCTATGCAACAACATTAACAGATCCTACAGCACGAACAGCAGAGATTCCTGTACGACGTAGAGAGTTCGAGAAAAAAAAACAGTACTTCTCGGAACAAAATATTTATTTAAAGCCAAGTTTCATTGGCTAATCTTATCGCCATGTTATAGGATCCGCTGCGCCACACACTGAAGAAACATAAATTTTGTTGCTATGATTAAGTATTGTTTAGAGAAAATTGTGAGGAACTGCAGGTGGCAATTATATGATGACATGGACCTCGGAGTGGAATATAAAC